TCGGAGAATATTGAAGAGAGGTCCGGCAAGTCTGACTTAGAACATGTCTCGGCCTTAAATGAGAAGACCCCTCAGGTAATCGAACAGAAAACTCAAGATCGTCAACCTATTTCACAAACACCACCTCAAAATCTACCCGAGACGTCAAGAACTACCCAGAAACAATCCATGAATCCTACCGGCCTGCATAAGGGTGCTGCTTCGGACCGGGCCTCAACGACCGAAAATGTCGAGACGCGTCTAGAATCCAATGTGCCACCGTTAGTTGCAGAAAATGACACGACAGCAATTTCTAACTCTATCTTTAATCAAAATCTCTCTGGTAACGATTCTCTCATAATACCTCCCCCTGCAAAAAAGATAACCTCTGCGTCATGTGCCCTCCAACAAAACCTGGCAGTTCCAAGAACTACAATATGTCCCAATGCCGATATTGCAAGCAAAAACGATTCCACTGCTTTGGCATCAAAAACAGTCACAGTATCACCAAATGCTGCTGTTGCACCTGGTATGCACTCGAACGTTATCGACCCAGGTAAGATCTTGGTAGGCATGACATCTAATGGTTCTACTTTTAATGCGACTGGCCGCTTCATGACTAAATTGGCACCGACACGAAATCAGCATCAAGTGGAGAGATCCCTGATCAAGACGAGTTCTAGTCTGACTGACCAAAATGCGGCTTCCCTCACAGCGGCACATCCTTCCAAAAATGTCGAAATTAAGCAGTCACCAAGCTCAATTCCAGACATTTTCTCCGTCGGCGAAACAAGAAACGATGAAACCAGTGGATTCATGTCAGCAAATCAGATAGCAGAGAAAGAAACGCAAACTCGTACTTCAGAGGCCTCCACGTCTGGAGATCAGGGTCCTTCACGGCCTAGAATCATCAACCCCGCAACTCGTGGAATGTCAATTCAAAAAACTGCCAAGAGAACCCTGCACGCACTATCTCCACCTATCAATCAAATGGGTCCACCCGCGGCCATTCTTGGAGGCCTCGGAAGCAGAAGGAATACTACAAACGACATAACAGGAGATTTAGGGAGCGCAAGAGACCTCAAAGGGCCATGGAGCAGGGAATCCTTTGATTTGTTTGGATCATGGAGGCCTACTACACCACAGTTGTGAAGAACTGTGCTAACCGCGCCTTATCGCTCGCCCCACCAGACTATTGGGGTTATCTGCTTATCTAATGAACCCATGGAGTAGCCACTTCATCCTGACGTCAAGTTCCATTTGTCAAATGAGAACAGTCCTAATAAAGCTATGAGCTCCTATCTGCCATCCGCATCCAAGAGATTACCTCCAGCCGTGAAGAGCCGGGGAAGTCGCAAAATCTCGTATCAACTGGGAACTCTTGGGCACTGGTGCTTGAAGGGCGTTGATAGGGCGGGCTTCTACGTTTCAGGATGCGCAATCGTGTCGTGTCCCTCCCCCACAAAATAATCGATTGCTTCGCCACACAAGTAGTCGTCGCCGCTTTTTTGAATAATTGCTACATGTTGCAAGTATCTTAATGCTGCCTCATACCCAGGAATTGGATTGAGACTTAGCTATCTTACGGTTGAATCGTAATAGGAGGTTTTTTTGTGTGCCAAATAATTACTGTTTTCTCAACGATAGCAGAATATACCTTGTCTCTCAAAGTACAGATTGAACCAGCCACACTTCCAGAACATCTCTTATCTCCACTCCAATTTCGCTATCGCTAGTAATCAGAACGAGCAAGTCACGTCACTTGCACCGCCTTCATTTACGAAGCAAGCTTTCACCGTCCCTTGGCAGCTCGTCCCATTGTTTTCCAAGCGCCAACATCATTTGATTGAATCGTGACAATGTGTTTTTATATGTTCAATGTCATTATTCTCTTCACTGACTAGCGTTAACGTCGCATGCTTCACCGAAATCCTTGTGGTAGTGGATAGGTTCGTTTAAATGCTTGGGGCGCTCGATCAATTGAGTACTGCGTGCCAGCCTTATCTTACGTCGAATACATATCCAGAATGCACTCCCCTTCTATTGACAGCTGTGTATAGACTTTTTCATCTGCGGACTGTCTCCTGTCAGTTTCCGCATTGTTTGGCTACTTTTTCATAATATACGGTTACCAGCACAGGAATATCCTTCTGACCTGTTCTGTTCTGTATCCTTTCCGATCTAATCTTTTAGGCTTCAGTCTTACTCCCATTCAACATTTACCAACTAAGAGTCTCAACCAACTGTTGAAATCATTTAATCCTGACCAGCCTACAAAGATGTTTCGTGGAGGGTTACCATCATATCCATATCTGCGGCCACCTTCGCCTGTGCCTCGATCTCATCGGCAAAGAGCATCGGTGAACACCTTACCAAGCCAGACATCGTCCCCCTCTTCATCTACACATGCTGCCAGTGTCGAAAAGAAACTTATACCTCAGGAGAAATTCCAAAGTGCTCTGAAGCTATATAGCGAGTTCCGGATGGAGGAAGGATTGGCGCAACGATCCCCTGACCCAAACGCAACATCGCCAAGTAGCATTGTGTCATTTGGTGCTCCTGGACCTCTCACCAATGCCTCTCGATCATCTCAATCAAAAACCGCACATTCGTATGATGCAGCCCCTTCGGATTGGTCTTCGGTGATGTCATTTGATACCAGCAGTCAGCATTCAGTCAAATCTGGAGCAAAGAATAAAGCAATCTCTTATCAAGGCAAGGCAGTATCGCAACGGAAAAGGAAAAAGTTCGGCCCTGTGGCGAAAGCCGAAACGGCCTTGATTCGACATTTAGGGGCTTGCGAGACATGTAGAGGTCGTAATGTCAAAGTATGTGGTAGCAGCTTCTTTTCGTTGATAATTTGTCTGATTTCGCGTTTTAGTGTCCCTTAAAACATCACGATATCGAAAGTCTTGACCGTGCCCTACAATCAAGTCCTAGCAAACAAGAAGTCGACTCACCGTGCTATAACTCGACTTCCCCTATAAACGAGTCTCAAACTGCAAACACCCCTTCTGGACAAGCTACACCAGTCACCTCGCAAGTAAAATACGAACTGCAGGGTATTGGTGAGAAGTTTGATGTCGCGCCTGACATATCCCTCGATCACGATTTGATCCTTTCGCCCATAATTGATCTGGAGACTAGCCAAAGCCAAAGTGAAAACAGCTTATCGACCTCCATAAGTCTTGAGACCCGTGTTGCGAACCACTATTCCCCTTTCCAACATGGTGGTCAATTTCCTCTTGGCGTTTGGAATTGTTCGACTTACAAGTGTTACTTTCTTGATGGCGAATGTCAGCACTCCTTCGTTGATGAAGAATCCTTACAGGCACATTTTGAGGATAGACACTTCGAGTTTTCCCGCATTGATCCTTGTCTTAGATTGATTTGCACTGAATGCTTTTATGTAACCACCTCTCACGCTTGCGGCTGTGGTGGCACAGTGAAACTGTTCATCTGTGGGAATTACATACCAACTGGACAATATCCTTCCGAACCGCCGCCTAGAACATCCTATTCATATACTGAATTCAACATACCCACAATATTTTCAGACGATTCTTATGTGAATACAGCTTTCGGACAAGGGCTCGGCTTCCAAACCAACGAGACTCAGAACTTCGGTAGTAACACTAACAGTATGTTTTATGGTGATGGCAATAATATGTACCAAAGTCCTAATTCCTCCACGTACGGTTCCTACAATTATGATTCTACACAGCCCGGTGGGAATCGATATAATGGATATGCATGGGCGCTGACTCTGGGAGCAAAGAAGGCTACTGAAACTCCTGTACCCTATTGTGTGATGAAGTTCAGACAAACCTCGAAGCGTCAAAAGATATTAGTATATGTATTACTTTCCTTAATACTTATCTTCACTGGCTTTCAACTCTTCCCCTGGATTACGTCTACCATCTCGAAAATCGATCAGTTTCTACCTAGTATCCCAACTCTAGGATTCATGGGCTTTCTGATATCTTTTGCTACAAGTTGGGCTACGAGACATGTTCATTCTACTCGCAAAGCTAAGCGATGCAAAATGGTAAGTGATGATGACTACTGAGGCATTCCTATAGCTTAGTGTATAGGCTCTAACAATTGTCGTTTTTACAGCGTCGATGCCCCCTTCATACTCTTACACCCCTAAACCTCCAATACGGCCAAAGAGTAATTCCTGTCTTGAAACATGCGAATGTTTCGTGAGTTGATGGGTTACGCACCTCGAAAAATCTTACGCGCAACGCAACTGATCATTGACCCTGGCACCCAGGGAACAACAATCATTACGACTAATGATTTACCTCACCAACCTCCTTCACAATCACTCTCCTCTTATGCTATTTGACGTAACGATATTTCCTATGTTCTATAATTTGGGGTTTAGCATGGGACAGAATGGGTGCAGATTGTCCTCTTTCTTTCCTACCTTTGCATTGGGTTGAACGTATTGCGCTTAACGCACAAAGCGCTTGCGTACAATTTACCCGCACTTCTCTTCTCTCTTTTTCTTATTGCTCAAGGCTTATGGGGAATGCGGCTGCGTGATTGGTACATGGATTGGGAAAAGGGACACTTCTCTTTCGCTAAGGAGTATAAAACAGGACATAAAAGATATGGATGAATGAACAGATATGATTGCAGGGTTTTAAGCTAGTGAAATTCAAACTATTTGGAGTTTTATTTGATGTATTTCTCTTTTCTTTGTCGCATCTTCACTTTAATTGAATTCGCCAGCGCGTCAGTGGGGTTGTTCTCATTTACACAGCGGCTGTTTCGTCATCCCTACATATCGCACCACTGCGCCGAAATGTGCATCAATGCAAGTCTTTTGATCTACAGCTGACATTGGGTTCTACGATCTAATTCTTTTTTGATGAAATATATATCATATTTTGACTTTTAGATCCTCCGCAAATAAAAAGCATCCTCAACAAAAACTAACACAACATCCTTCCCTCAAACTTACCATACTAAATAATTTCGAGTGTGTGTGAGCGCGAGGCAAGTCGGAAAACATGGACAACACGAATGCTGCAGACTTACTCTATCGCTCACAGGTCCCACCAACAGCTTCCCAAAATCCAGGCAGCAAGATCTTCACTTCCATGTTTGATAAATACACAGTAGCGCCTTCTTCTAAAGATGGTAGCGCGTATCTTGTCTTTCCAATAAGCTACACGACGACGTTGCGTGATGATGAGGGGGAAGAGATAGATGGCAGCTTCGAAGACTCGGAGGGCAGGGTTGGGATCCAGTGGGCTGCGGGCGTGTATGAGCACTTGCGAGGCAATCATCCTAAATTACTTGAGTACGTCTCACTTATCTCAGATTTCCTGAAAGCGGGGATATGGTTCGGGCTAACTAGGAAACAGATTCAAGGGCCGTGATCCCTATGGCTACCTTCTGTCAAAATCCTCCATTGGCCCCCTAACCTTAGCACTACACGCCCATCCCACCTTCACTACCAACGCCCTCTCCCTCGCGCTCATCTACCGCTGGGCATTCAACACGCTCTCCGCGCTACAGTACCTCCACTCGCGCGACGTCGTGCACTACGAGTTCTGCTCCGAGACGCTCTGGCTAGAGCCCGACCTCTCGCTCTCCATGCTCGGTCTCTGGGGCGCGCATATAGGGCACTATTGCCCCATTACGGGCAATCAGATGACCGATATAAGGCTTGAAGAGCAATTTGTGAGTTTTCAGACGGATTTGTTTGATTGGGCGTCGTCGGTGTATGGGCTCGTGACTGAGAAGGGGGCGTTGGCTGTGTTGGAGCGGTTTGAGGGTGGGCCGAATTAGATGGAAGAGGAGAGGAGGAGAGTGGCCACTAAACAATTCCCTGTGCTTGGGTAGGGGCTGTGGGAACGGTGGTGGGAAAGTGCTGGAGGGGCGAGTACGCTTCTAGTATGGAGGTTGTGGGCGAGCTGAAGGTTTTATTGGAACAGATGAGTTTTGAGTGCCAGAGAAATGGTGATTTGGTTGATTTGGATAACGCGCCGTACGAGTATTTTGAAGGTGTTCGATAACCCCTGTTCGACATTGGATGCCTGGTAAAGACATGACACGAATATCAAACAATGGTTTCCTTCTAAAATGACGAGAAAATGGAAGCGATTATGTCCAAGAGATTGTCAAGAATTCCATGTCAAATTAGTATAAGGGCTATTTGATGTTAGGCCATATGAGAAATCGACATTCTAGGTCACAGGTCTTTGCTTCAAAATATTCGACCTCATTGCACCAGTCGCCCAGAACGGGAAATTACCAACTTCAATTTCAAATAGGTTCAGGGAAACTATCAAACACATAGTTTACACACCGTCCCCATTACGACCAAATCTCGCTTACCCCGCAGCAAAACAATAATCATACGCAGCTTGCAACCCACTACAGTCCCCATTCGGCGCCGGATTCCATGTATATAGATCCGCGAGCGCCCCTTTTTTTCGTTCGCAGTGAGCCAGTGAGTACTTGTGTAACACGTGATTACCAACATTACAAACCCTCCGTGGTGGGGCGATGAGGGGTTTGATTACAAATCCAATTGTTTTAGCTCGCTAACTGACACAATGTTGCAGCTTTGGCGGCTGAAAAGGGGTGAACATGTGCTCATCATGGATAGATTGGTAATAATCTGATTGGCATGGAAGAAGGTAGAATGTAAAATACGAGTGACAACTGAAGATGGGGACGGGAACAGACTTGGAACTGAAGCACAGGTAGAAATGTGGAGATATTTGTTGTACCAGTGTTATCATCTACCCACATCTATAAAAGCGAGGAGCTACCGTAGGTGACATCTGATATTTAAACATTCAACAACCAAACTTCTTCACTTCTCTCCTTCTTTTTACAAACAATTCCACTTCAACGTTACACACAAAGTACTCACACTCACAAACGTACATTCAATCATTCATCTAAAATGGCTCTCTCACTCTACGATATCTCAGTTGTCCCTTTCATCAAGACCCTCAAAACATTGTCAAGTCAGTCTTTCCTATTTCATTCGCTTTATCTTCCCTCTCTTTTCACTTTGTACATTGATTGACAGCATCTCTAGAAATCCTCGCAAAAGGGCAAGCACACTTTGAAGATGAATCTAAAATTATCAACGCAAGATTGATTGATGATATGGGAGATTTGATTTTCCAGGTCCAAAGAGCTTCTGATGCTGCTAAGGGATTGGCATTCCGAGTTGGTGGTGCGGAAAATGTTGCTTTGGAGGACAATGAGAAGGATGTGAGTTTGAGTTTGGGTTTACTTTTTTTCGTTTGGAGTAGGGATGAGGGTAATTGGGACTGCGGGAAACAAAGTAGTTCATCGAGTGATGAATATGCATCTTTGTAATCGCCCATACTTGGGTAGAGATATATCAGTTGAGATCTGGCATTCGGCAAAAGTTTACGGTCCGGGGCAGAAGAGCTTGTGTAACCACATGTCCTCCACTCACAGTCCGAAGCTCCTTAACTTTTGCCTGCCACATCTCATTTTCTCTACGCTGTTTATCCCTCAAGCGCTCCACTATAAAAGATTACATCATTCTAACAACCTCTACAGTTCGCAGGTCTCTATACCCGCATCAACCGCACAATCGAGATTCTCGAAGCCCTTCCCTCTACCTGTACAGATGGCAAGGAAGAAACCGAGGTAGTATTGAAGCTCCCAAAGGAAGACTTGAAATTCACTGCTAAGGACTATGTTCTTAACTTTGCAATTCCAAACTTCTACTTCCATGTCGTTACTGCTTATAACATTTTGAGGTATGTTTCAATATATCTATTTTCCCTGGAGATAGAAAGATGACTAGGCCGAGGAGTTTTGATAAGAAGTTTGGAAAATAAGCTAACGCGTATGTGTGTACAGAAAGGAAGGCGTACCGGTTGGAAAGTTTGATTACCTTGGAAGAGGTGATTAATAATACTGTAGATGCCGGAGTAAGGAAATGGTGTTTTATTACCATGATGACGATTGAGAATTCATCCATGGCATAGATTCTAGCTCCATGACAAATGAAAATATTTATTCTGAAGACAACTCCGTACATATGCCATATACTTGTGAGCGTTTTCCAGTCTCCTAATTTCTTACTGTGTAAGTGTTGTATATTATTAGCTTAAGCGATTGTAGGAATTTCAGTAATCGTCATGTCATACTCGTCGTATCATACTCGTCGTGTCATACCCAACATTAACCTTCCCTATAAAGCTGAGAGCAAACCTATAATTCACTTTCACAATAACTAGTATCTTCTTATCAACACTAGCGTACCCTCCCAACAATTAGCACTCTCAAAATCTCAAAAATCTTTTGCGCTCGTCTTCTCATTGGTTTCCAACACACAATGACGTCAATTTCGAGATCGTTCAGATATGCAACAAATTGCAGTTGGGACTAGAACGGGATCTAGATCGCCCGGATTCACTTATATTAGGGTTCTGGAATATTCGTTCCTGTTTACTAGTTTCCAGTGAATACACTAGTTTGGTACGCAGTTCGGATTAAGATCTCATTCCTTTGCGCGAGGAAATCTACTGGTTCTCTGGATGCGGTGACGTCAATTTCTAGATGGGGCAGATGTGCAACAAATGGATTGTTGGCGGGCTAGGGCTTAGTTTGGATAGGTTTAAATTCACTTTATTTGGTTGTGAGATAATAGTGTGTTCGCGTTTTTCTAACTTCAGACGGGATTTTATTTAGAAGGGTTTGGTGCTCAAGGAGAGAGAGAACTTTGCAAACAGTATGAGAGGTGTGGTATGTGAAGTTTGTAATAGCACTAGCATTGAGCTCGTTATCTCTGAGAAAGAAAATGTTGTGTCGAAAAGTTATATAGAATCAAGATATTCTCTCTTATAGTATATGATGATAATTTCCTTATGTTTGTTGTTGTTCTGCATCCCAAATATCAGATCGTTCTCCAGCCAAGCGCTTTCCTCTCCCGAAGCCATTGGAAGATTCTCTTTTTGTTGTCATGGTACTTAGTATATGAAATTTGGAATTATAGGGTTTTAATAACAATATGTGGTGTTGAGAGATGAAGTCAGTAAAGGCTAGTGCCGACCTAGATTTAGTTTGCCTTTCTAGCTCTGTACTCTCACCAAGCGAAAGAGTGAAAGATCTAAACCGAGATTGATAGACTGGGATATTCCCGCAATATACTTACTAATAAGTATGAGTGTTTCCCCCATTGGTGTTCTACAAGGGTTTCAATAATCAATATCACAGTGCAAGAGTAGGAGATTCTTAATATCTAAACATGTTTGGGACGTCTATTTTACTGGACATACGCACTCATCTTGAATGATGAGGTTTCCTGGAAACTTTCAATCAATGCAAACTTTAGAACTTAGTGACATGTTGATATGTATTCAGAGAGTCATAGCATCGTGCGCTTCCACATCTAGTCAATCTGCTAATTTGACACTTCGCAGTGTGAGAGTACTTCATCGCCTCGACCGTGCAAGGTGGCGCAAACCATGTGGCGAGACATTTGAGCTGGATTTAAACACTGAAGATGGATAGTAGACAATGAACATAAAGAAGCATTTATGAATTATGTCATAAAACGATAGGTTGAGCGATGAAGTTCAATCAGAATCGCTCTATGAATCATCCGTTTTCGTGAAGTCATAAAACTGTAGAGTCATGGACTCATGGACCCATGGCATCCTACACACAGACGAATAAATAAAATTTCTCTGCCTAGCTTCAACCTTTCTTTCTCATCAACTAGATCTTCGTCAATCAACCCAGGTAGACTGAACTACCCAGCGGTTTTTGCGCGAATGATAATCAAATCTTCGTACCACCACCATCAGAGTGCCTGCAAATGTTGCAACTACGCATTAATGCCGATATATCTCTAATGCGCGTTTTTCAGAGTATCAACTGACGCGTTCATGAAGAGTCTTGACATACCCAAATAGTCCGCTTCTCGCCTATAGTACTAGTGCCCAAAGCGAACATGTAGCGATATCTCAACTGCCCCCTAAGAAATTCTGTAGAAGATTTGAAACTCGCTACAGGATGAGGAATCGTCCACACTTTGCTACTATTTCGACACATGCTCGTCACAATCCATTCAACTCCCTCATTTCTGTGCTTTCACAAAGAAGAAGAAAGCTCACGCGAATCTCAAAACCTAAAGCTGAATGCCTGTGCTACATCTGCGACACAAACAGACCACTTGATCTCTTCTCACTTCGTTCAGATCATGCAGGAAATCAATCTGACCTTCATCGTTCCTCAAAATGAGGTGCTAACGATATCAAACTTTACCTCTCCCATCTACAATCCTCCAAATCTATTAGTCTACCGCTGAAACTCCACCCCCATCTTCAGTACCCTTCAGTAAAATCACACTCCCATATCCATTATCCATCCTTTATCCGAAATCCCATCCTCAAATCCCCCCCTCCAGAAGAAATACAACACATACTCGATTGAAAAATACAAAGGAATACATTACTCCCCTCCTCAGAAAATAACCAGAATGCCAGCATACAATACATACACTCCCTATCATCTAACACATGATCGCGAGCAGTTCAGAAGCCGAGGAAAGTCGAGTAGCACAGGATGATTGAGTCAACATTCACAGTCGTAGAGAACATTGAGTATTGTATTATTATCTTTATATTCTTCATAAGTATTACAATCGTTCTATAATATGCACATGCTAGGTATCGTTCCAGCATTCATTTTGGATCAAGATAACCTCATCCCAAACATCAAGTCCAGTGCCGTAGTAAGAGAAAAGCTTCAGTCAATATATGTCTTATATATGACCAGTGGCTCGTAAGAGGGATCACAAACACGTAAGTTCATGATCACTCAACCCATCCCAAATCCAATCAAACACCCCAACCTTATGCCAAAGGCTTTCTTGCAACCATCAAATACATAGGGGTGAACAAATCTTCCCTAGCACCAGCAACCAAACAATCAGCAGCCAAAGCCAATGAATCAGCTGTCTTTTGTGTTCCGTGTGGTGCTAACTTTAAGTACTCCAAAGCACCGACAAATTTGTGGACTAATCCTCGACCAACCTTGGTCATACGGGCAATAGTGAAGAAATCTCCAATGGTACCCATGTGCTTGAATTCACCAGCCAAAGGATAATACCATGGAGTAGCATCTGGTCTCTTGGCCAAATCCTCATTGAGTATGAGTTCGAAGCCAGCGGCTTTGATGGCGGCGATACCTTCAGAAATCTTGACCATGTTGGAGATTCCGTCACCTTGCTCAATACCGAGACGAATTTCGCGGTGATGTTCATTTTCATTATCGTAGTTATCGGTCATGAGCCATTCGTAGACACCGAAAGTTCCACCTGGCTTGAGAACTTTGAAAATTTGGGAGTAAACACCCTCGAGAGATGGGGCGTGAACAGTTGCTTCAATTGCGTAAACAGCATCGAAAGAGTTTTCTGGGAAAGACATTTGCTACAAAACTATTAGTCATGACCCAAGAGAGAAAAGGCGGCGCCAACGAAGATATGCGAAGTCTTTATCAGTGCATATGGTGAAAATTGTCTCATGGCTTGATCTCTCAAGCTCTGAAGTAGCAAATACTTTAAAATTGCGTAGCATCATATAGACTCCACATATCTCTGTGGCTTGGAATCAAGAAAGGTTGAACATACCATGAAATCTCCCTTGACAAACTTCAATTGATCAGACATACCCTCCTTTGCCGCATATCGAGTCGCACGCTCAATTTGATAATCGTTGTTGTTCAAACCAGTGATGTGTGCTCCAGTGAACTTGGCAATCTCTCTTGCTGGTCCACCGACACCGCATCCAACATCCAAAACTTTGTCACCATCCTTGATACCAATTTTGGCTGCTAGGTAATGTTCGTGACGAGCAATGGCTTGGTAAAAAGGCTCTCCGTATGCGAAACGACAGAAATGGAAAGATTGTCCCCATCCATATTCGTAAAGATCAGTTGCGAGATTGTAGTAACTATCCATATGTTAGCATTCAGTCTTGCTTGAGATCATTGGAGTAACTCACTGTCTGGTCAGAGTAGCATATTCTGCAACGCGTGCATCTCTATCTTCCTTGGTCTCGTTCTTAGCGGCCTTGTCATCCCAATGCTTGAAGTATTCATCAACAGCAGCCTTTTGAGCCGAAGAGTCCTTTCCCATCATAGCACGGAAACCACCTTCAGCACTGGATGAATCCTTATGCATTGCTTTGTTGAAAGCAGCATCGCGGGAGTGATCCTCGTTCTCGAGCTTGGTTGGAGCCATTGTAAATATTTAATGAATTCGTAAATTAGAAAACGTATTATTTTAAAGAAAGCGGTATTCGAGTTGATCGAATTTTGAAGAATTAAATGAAGGTAAAGTAAAGTTAAGTGGAATGGTTAAAAGTTTAGGACACTGAAGAAAGGGGAATTTCTGATAGATATTTATCAACACCATTGAAATTATGGCCAGGGTAATTTAGTTACCCCTAGGCGTATAGCGAATCGTATTCGTGTACTAGGCCCGAAGTGATAAATGTAAGGGGTCTTAAGCCTCTAATTGGTCATTGAGCATCAACGATGAATGGGGAATTTTCGATAGGCGGCGGGACAGCAAATTATGCAGATTAGACTCGAAAGGCTGGGCAATAAAATCGTTGGCATTTTTGGATACACCGGTAGTGAAAAGAAACGGTGAATGAAGGGTCAGACTGAGGATCTCTATCATGGTACACCGAGGTCTCAGAATCCTTCAAATCATTCACATGTAATGAAGACTGGGCAATAGATTGAAAGGTATACTTCATTGAGGAAGTTGAAAAGATAATATTTGCTGGGTAGGAAAAGGCAAAGAAAACCGTTGTTTTGATTTGTAAGGCTATCTATCAGCCTTATCACGTGTATTCATGTCTAGCTGCAATAGTCAAATTCCTGATTTCGAATTTCTTCGCCTCTTCTTCAGCCTTTCCTAGCTTCTATCATCAAGCCATCAAAATATCAACGTCACTTTATCGCAAAGGCCAGACTAAATCACACGATATCGACACCATTACCCTACGAATATCATAACAAGGAATAAATTCCTTAATCATGCCACCACAAATCAAACAAGATCTCAATCGCTCCGGATGGGAAACCACCGACTTCCCCTCCGTCTGCGAAAATTGTCTTCCCGATAACCCTTTCGTACAAATGATTAAACAAGACCACGGCGAGGAATGCAAACTTTGCACACGACCTTTCACCGTCTTCCAATGGAAAGCTGATCGCACAGCTCGTAGTAAACGCACCAATATCTGCCTCACATGCGCGCGATTGAAGAATTGTTGTCAATGCTGTATGTTAGATTTGAGTTTCGGTTTACCGATAGTGGTTAGAGATGCGGCGTTGAAGATGATTGCACCGGGACCGCAGAGTGAGGTTAACAGAGAATACTATGCGCAGAATCATGAGAAGGAAATCGAGGAGGGAAAGGGAATGGAAGAGTATGAAAAGACGGATGAGAAGGCTAGAGAACTCTTGAGGAGGTTGGCGAACAGTCAGCCTTATTTCAGAAAGGGGAGAAAGATGATTACGGATGGGGAAGGTAGTGGTAGCGGTGCCGCAAATGGAAGTCAAAGTGAGAAGGGAACAGCATTGGCAACCAAGGGACCAGGGCCGATCCGAACACGAGATGGACAACCGAGCAGGGGTGCTGGTCGGGGTGGTAGAGGCGGGGCCAGAGGAGGGAGAGCTTTCCCTAGTGCGGCGCAATTACTACCAGGGCCTCAAGATATCTTACCACCTTCCGACAAATCAATAACTTCGCTTTTTATTACTGGTGTTGAAGACGACTTGCCAGAATATAAGATTAGGGATTTCTTCTCGCCATACGGGAAATTAAGATCATTGGTCTGTTCGCACATGTCACATTGCGCGTTCATTAATTATGCGACGAGAGAAGGAGCCGAAGCTGCAGCAGAAGCCTTACAAGGAAAAGCTATAATTGCAGGTTGCCCGTTAAGAGTACAGTGGGGAAGACCCCGACCCATTGGTACCATGGATAAGGATGAGCGCATAGCTACCGGCAGGGAAGGACGATCCGCGTTTTCGAGTTCGGGTTCGGGTTCACAGAGAAGAGCGATTGAGGGTGGTGCTTCACAAGCTGCAGCTCCTCGGGATGACTTGGCTAGTATGTCGGCAGTACCTGCTCCACCCGGTGCAGGCGATGTACAATATGCCAGTTTGGCCGGTAATTAGGGGGTTTGATGAATGTAAATCATTCTTTTGGGAGTTTTGGGAGTTTTGGGAGTTTTGGGAGTTGGGAGCCAAAGGGTCTGGAAAGTGGAGTGCTCTTTGTATGTCTAGAAATACATTGCATATAATGACAATTGTGGCCTCTATGGTCACGACATATACCTATTTTGCTTTGTGTCAATCTGTCTGTAAAACATCCTCGCTATACATGTCACCCTTTAGCCCTCTCATTACCGGCCTCGACGTCCTATATTTACATATCCACTTTTCCGCCCCTAAGTCTCATTGTCTTCAGGAACCAATGTATCCTCAGACAACCTAGTCCTTACACGTCTTCCCGTCAATAGTAACGTTCTTGCCATTCGGCATCTTGATCGTATCATTATCTCCTCGTTCTGTATCTTCGTGAATGTTTAACTCTGTAATCTGTTAGCTTGATTTTTGATCCCTCCATCATGTGAAGATTTTGACCTACTGTATTTTTCATCCCCCTCTGCTTTCTGTCCCTGCACCACATTTCGCCTCAAAAATTGCGCAACATCTTCTGCATGCGCAATGGCAGCTACAGATTCTGGTGATTCGGGAGCGAGAGATCGGTTGGCGAGGAAAGTGCTTCGGGCTTGTTTGCGCGCGGAAGTGAGGACCGCGATATCTTCTATGAAGGGGTTAGATACTAGTTACTCTTGCAATTGTCGTTGTGAGATGGACAGGAAACCACGAACCATTGAATGCGACTCGAGTCGCACGAAGCAGATGTCTGTAGGCTGCTAAGGCCATGGCTTTTGATGTCTGGAAAACTACATATCATATTTGGTCAGTATACTTCTATCCTTTGACAAAATTAAACGACAGCGATATATCTTTTTGTCGGTCTTCCTTTTAGGCGATGATGACTACCCCAAAAAGCAATTTCCAATGGAACTGTGCCACACCCTGCTTTGTGTCGAAAACCAGGCATCCTACGACTTCTATCTATGGATCAGATAAGATAGATGAAAGGAGGTCAACAGGACTACGCGATGCAGACTATAGTGCAGCCTTCGAAACCATGGGGGTTAGGAGATGCTTTGGAAAGATAAACGAGGCATATAGCCAGGTTGATAACATAAGAAGGACATTCCCAACTACTTGGGTATATTTAGGCAATAAGGGCTGCAGTGAAACTGCAACTTCCCCAGGGCCTTTCACATTACCCATAGCATGGAACAGCGGCACGATAGACAGTGGAATTCAAAGACAAGGCAACCGCCGGAATCTTAGCACAAGAGATAACTCGCCTAGAAAACCAACTCGCCGAGAAAAGACTATGTTTGAGGCTATTTGTAGAATGTATATGAGCCCCAAGAAAAGCTTCCAACGACCTTGAAGAGCAGGAATTCACGTCTACGGCACCCAGCCCGGTTTCTCAGGCCTTTCACACCACAATATAGCGCGAGACATACGAAGGCGCATGCACAACTTGCTCAAGTCATCCATCTGAAAGCCCAAATTTGCATTCAAGAAGCTCAACTCCTCAAGCAGAATGCGAATTCGTTGAAAAACACAATGAAAATGAATCGTGCTTCCCAATGAATTGTCAAGCAACATCAAGCCATTCAGCAGACGTCGAAAGCTTTGAGAAATCTAGTCCAACTATGGGTACTGGAGAGCCCCAAGCCATACCGCTCACAACTTGGGCAGACCTTGATGAAGAAGTGCGTCCAAAACGCGCCCGAAAATAGTTTGAAAAAAAAAAAGAGAACTCGAAGAAAGTGAAAACAACAGTCGAGAACAAAAGCAGAAGCAGGAGAAGGAGAAGAGACCTGAGCTGAATTACGCACCTTAAAAGCTTTGGCGGGAGTTCGTTAAGCAGAGTCTACGGCTACAAACGAGAGCGAGGAGAGAACTAAGGTTGATCAAATACTAGCGGGACACTAAAAAGATTGGCCTCAATGAGAATTATCTTCTATGAGAATGGGAAACTAAATTCAAACACTGTGAGGAGGATGAAAAGACTGGAATCTCTGTTAAGAATCGCAAGGAAAGTGATGCAGCGTGATCTCAATACGGCGCAGGAATTCCGTTCAAGCACATTAATAAAGATCTCTTGGTGAAAGACTTTGGGCTGCTTAGCTAAGCATTCCTTTAGTACACCAGGTACATCAGACCGACCTGTTGAAGTGGCCCTGAATATTCGACGCAGGGTGTCATATTCAAATAGTCTATATGGTTTTCAATACAATCAATCAAGCCACTTTTCTAATTCTTTTTGAACTAAGATCTGAGAATAACATGTAGTTTGACAATGATGTTGCTGGGAGAGCGCCCTCGGCCGTAGCCAATAATATACACCAAATTTGTAAACTTCTATTCGTGCATCTAGAGCGTTGAAATAAGTCCAAAGAATTGACACACATTGGAAAAGAAGCTGAGTAAGTATGAAGTTTTGGACATTAGCACCAAATTTTCATGAGAATGATTTAAGACCAAATTCTGGGTTCTACTTGGATATTGAATGCGAAGATCTTACATGATTGAAGTCGCAGGCAAGTGTTATCTACAAGCGGCTGCGCGGCATAAAATAAGGGCGGTGAATTTAGCGAACAATTTTTTCGATCCTAGCATTCTAGCCTTTTCTTTCTCCCCTCCAACTTGTAAATAAAGCATTCAATAATTAAAAATGGCGTCCCATACTCAAGTCGCTTTACCTCTTCCTGTCCTTCCAGAAGGATGGTCCGCCGAGAAGGATTTCAACGCCGTTGGTAGCGTTTCTGCTGCAACTCAACGAAGCCTTGAGCCTGTTGGTCCTCACTTTCTCGCTCACGCCCGCAGAGCTCGTCACAAGCGTACCTTCTCTGAGGATGACCGTCTCGAAGCCCAGAACAACGTCAAGAAAGTCGAAGATGATGACCTTGGCGAGATTAGCGAAGCTGAAGACCCAATGATGTTGTCCAGAGATGCTAAGGACTGGAAGGTAAATTCAAATATCTGCCAACCCCACTATACTTTTGCTAATACTCAATTAATAGAACCAAGATCACTATGCCGTTCTCGGTCTCAGCAAATACAGATACAAGGCTACAGAAGATCAAATCAAGAAGGCACACAGAAAGAAGGTCTTGAAGCATCACCCTGATAAGAGAGCTGCCACCGGTGCCACCGAAGATGACAACTTCTTCAAGTGCATTCAAAAGGCCACCGATCTCCTCCTCGATCCTGTCAAGCGTCGCCAATTTGATTCCGTTGATGAAGCCGCCGATGTTGCACCACCATCCAAAAAAGACCAAAAGGACCAGAAACTCTTTTACAAGAAGTGGAACTCATGTTTCAAGGCCGAGGGTCGTTTCTCCAAGGTTCAGCCAGTCCCCAAATTTGGTGATATCAACAGCTCCAAGGAGGAGGTCGAGAATTTCTACAACTTCTTCTACAACTTCGATTCATGGAGATCGTTTGAATACCAAGATGAGGATGTTCCAGATGATAACGAGAACCGTGATCAAAAAAGACACATGGAGCGTAAGAACAACAACGCACGTAAGAAGAAGAAGACCGAGGACTCTGCTCGTCTAAGAAAGTTGTTGGATGACGCTTCCGCTGCTGATGAGCGTATCAAGCGTTTCAGACAAGAAGCAAGCAAGGAGAAGAACAAGAAGAAGTTCGAGAGAGAGGAAGCTGAGGCCAAGGCCAAGGCTGAGAAGGAAGCTCAAAAATTGGCCGCCGAGAAGGAAGCCAAGGAAGCCGAGGAGAAGGCTAAGGCCGACAAGGAGCAAGGAAAGAAGGCTAAGGAAGCCGCTAAGGCAGCTGTCAAGAAGAACAGACGTATCTTGAAGGGCAGTGTCAAGGATGCCAACTACTTTGTCGGAAGTGGAGATGCACCAGCATCTGCTATTGACGGTGTCTTGAACGATGTTGAGTTGGTTCAAGGTAAGATCGATCCCGATGAGTGCGCTGCTTTAGCTGGCAAGCTCAACGGCTTGAAGATCGCCGATGAGATCAAGAGTGTCTGGAGCGAGGAGGTCAAGAGATTGGTTGGTGCTGGTAAGCTCAAGGAGGGTGATGCCAAGAACCTTGCTTAGAGTTTAGAATCTTGTACTTGTACATGATGGGGCGTAGTGGTAGAATAATTAGATATAGAATGAAACTTCATGACCTTTCTAGCGATTTGCGACTTATCTCCTGTGGTTGTATGTACTTGTACGTGCTATACATTTTACAACTCTGCATTAAGGGGCGAATCAACCGAGGTAACTACTTCTCAGAATCTTCATATTATCGTAATCCCAGCTTACACCAATATTTCAAATGAAATCTCTGTGAATATTCCCTTTCCCCTCATTTTTTGGTGTATGCCTGATGCACAATATACTCCTATAATATCATTTTCTCCTGAACTAAATTTTCCCCTCCCAAAGTCTCTCAACATTCATATAGTGGCGTCTACATCAAACACACCCTCGCTTACATCATATCATATTGTGCATATCACCATCGGATTTCACATAGGCAGCAAGATTGATGTTTATCAATTTTCAATCAGCAGCTAGATAACTAAAGAACCAAGGAAATAAAGAAAAGGAGCGAGCGAGCGACTTTATCCTGCCTGTCACACATTTTGGTCAAATCAATAACTAAAATGCAACGAATGTAGCTTGATGTGACCCTTCCACTCACTGTCCATTTGATGCCTAGATATATCTTGGGCTTTTCCTGACGTCGTGATATCGCAATTTATAAGAGAGAAATGGTAAAAATTGCTTGTGAGCATAATAGATACTTTCGACCATTGTCGTGAATTCGTGGAATTAGAAAAGGAAAACTTGAGGAGATGATGATGTGGAGAGCGACTGGTGGCTTTTTTTGAGAGAGGGTTCGGTTTTGAAGTGTGGGGATTGGGATAAATGAAGTGCATTGCATGAACTGCGTAAGCTTGCTGAATCGAAAGAAGCGAAATTGCGTGGTTTGGAGGACTGAAAATGCAAGAAGATGATCGTATGAGAGATTTGCGGGAATGAAACCGTGTAGGGCGGGATCTAAGGCTGCTTCCATAGCAAATTTCGGCAGACTGTCAGATCTTAAAATGGATCTCGTTCATCGATATCTGAGCCTTTGCTGTCCCTGTCCATATATTCTTGAGTCCCAAATTTCAATAACTCGTCAATGTCGTCGGAAAGCTCGCTGTCAGAAGGCTCATTCACGATGTGATCATCATGGATATGGGACGGAGGTTCAGGCTCGGCTTCCCAGGCTTTATAAAGTTGTTGGAAATGGGGTTCGAGAGCAGCACGAAGATTAATTTTGAACTTTGAATTAACTCTTCTTGCATTGTGACGAGTTCCAGAGGCGGTATGTTGTTCGAGAACATCAATAAATTCTTGCTTGATGATTCTGAGACTGTCATCGAAACTCTCCTCGAATTTTTCAGGAAGCTCTTGACAAGCTTCTTGAAAAGCCTCAAGCATTTTAACGGATGCACTGTGATACATAGCTAGACCACCATCTCCTTTGAGATGGGTCTTGTGGGCTTCTTTGTTGTGCTCGTAGGTCCCAGTCCCTAGATAGTATTTAGTAATGGGCGTTCTACGATAAATAAGGCTAGCATACCCTTCCGATCACCACATTCCCGATAGATTTCTTTCCCTAGGTGACGTCAGACACAACTAGTTTACAAGAAATAGCACTAGCTTACATGTGTCTTCACACTCTGTCTTAATAATTCGCCAAATGTCCTTAGCAGAAACATCGAAGCCATCAAATACGACACCAGCAGTTTGCTTGAGCCGACGTCGATGTGCCAAGATGCTATCTTTGACATTCTCAAAGCTATCTCGGATGGATGGTGAGATATCATCAGCTGCACTCAAGGTCAAGTCAGTGAATTCGGCGATGAGGGTGTCGACACGCTCGTCATACGGCTTTCTCAGCGCAGGCAGCTTTTTGTGAAAAGTCTCATTCCACAAAACTAACAAGTGCTTCAAGAACGCGTTGTTTCTTCTAATTGTTAGTAGAGGTACACAAAGTAACGACAACTCAACATACAATTGCTCATTCCAATCGAAGTCTTTGCTAGCACGGACCGAGATCCAAACCCCCATTCTCTTGTTGATTGCACGATGAGTATTCCATGCGATTGGTCTTTGTATCCACTCTCTGAGGACTAGCTGCTTCTGTTCTTTATACGCCTTTCTGACGATAATCTCAAATTGAGGATATAAATCATCTGCGAGAAGCTTTTCTATCGCATTGGCGGTGTCTACATTAAGTTTCTCAAATTCCTTTTGGTTCAAAGTTAGATAATAAAATTCTAAATGGGTTGTGATATTTATACCTGTTCTAGAGCTCCGTACATCTCATCGAGTTTTGTTTCAACGACTGCTCGCTCATCCGATTTCATTTTGAAGTCTGCAATCGTATCAGCCGACCACATATCGAGTAGTGCTGCAGCATTTGCGACTCCCTCGTTGAATGTACGAGAATTGTGCAGTCGGGTCTTCCATGTCTTAGCTATCAGAGCATCTCTAAATGTGGGAATACCAGTATCAGCTTTTGTAAAAAATCCACAAGCAAGAGCTTCGCCTTCTTGACCACTGCACAAATCTAAGAATGCCTTTGCAGAAACACAAAAGATTTGCAAGGGTCTTGAAGCATCCTGCTCTCCAAGTTCCTTTCTACCAGTCTCGAATTCTTCTGTGATTGCTGCTATCTGTATATCATTCCTGTTCTTGATGCATTTCGCTTTTATTCGGGCCTGATTATTTGCTAGGCTGCTTTCTATGCTTTCTTTCTTCGTCTGCAAAGACCAAAGTTGGTTTGAATAACTGTTAACTTCCATCTGAAGGTTTTGACGAGCATTTTGAGCCTGAGAGAGAGTATCATTTGGCAGTGCAGCCTCAACTAAAACTTTGTAAGAATTCAACACAACCATAAATTTACAGTGAAAATTAAGAAACATACCGCTTTCATCGCGTTTGCGCTTTTGTCTGGATGCTACCCGACCACTAGAACTTTTGCTGATCACTCCAGTCAACTTGGCAATGTTTTTGACTCCCTTTTCGCGTTTTGAAACGAGCACTTTCAATCGCTCTTCGATGTCCTTGAGTTGATCCTCTTCAGCCTGAATGGCATTGAGATCTGGTGCGAGTTTCTCACCCAAGTCTGGATGATCTGTGATGTAGCGCCGCACCTTCAAGGAGTCATCAATCTTGCTAACGACAAAGAAAAGTGAATCTGCGGTGAAGAGACCCTATGAAAGAGTTAGTAAATATGCTCAGTGAGAAATGATTGTTACATACATCAAACTGCATGTCCCGCTTCTGTATCGAATTGAGAATCACATGTGCGCCTTTGTCACTTCCAGCTCTTACACTGGGGGCGACAACACAAGAAATGTCGAGGTTTTTCATGTGGTTTCGAGCAATAGCATTTCTGGCTGCACTGGTGTCATGAACACCTGGGAGATCGACAAACACGATGCCAGCCTTGAGAATAGGGGCCTTTATGAAAAGCTTTACGACCTTCACAAGAGGCCACAAAGAATGACCGACACCTCCATCTTTTGTTTTGCTAGTGTCAATAAATGGTTTTATAGAAGCCGCGAATTCTTTCACATTATCCTTGGTTATGGTGCGCTTCTTATCCATCAGAAGCTGAGCACTGGTTGTTGCTAGAAGCTTGTCAACAGAGGTTTTTGCCCAGTCGTCGAGAGTTTTGAGTTCTGCAAAGACACACTTGTACTTTGAAACCGTATTTTGCATTCTCTGCATTATCTCTGTGTCTGGCTCTTCTCCTTCCTCTCCTTCCTCTCCTTCCTCCTCTCCAACTCCCAAATTCCATGCAGCCATGTCTTCGTAGAGCTCTTCCAACTCTTGTTGAATTTCTGATTTGCTGACTCCATCAATAGTGGCACTGTACATGCGCTCTGGATCCTCTGAATTGTTATAGGAGATTTCGACGATGACGGCAGTTGATGCGACTTCATCACTGACTGGGAGAAGATCCTCTTCGCCAAGGAGGGCATTGATAACAGAAGACTTGCCGGCTCCACTACCTCCGAGAAAGCCAATGTGGATTTGGCATTCTCTCCTCTCTTTGTAAACTTGGGCTATGGTCCACATCAGCAACAGATCATAAGAATTGAAGATCAAGAACTTACAATGTCTGTCTATTCTATGCTTGACAGCGGGTATATTGTCTTGGTATTCTTTTAAGATCTGAGTTGCTGCTTGTATGAATGTGTTGCTCTGCTCAGCTGCATCCTCCAAGATCTTTACAGCCTGCACACGGGGAAGCCCAGAAAGATCACTTTCCCATCGGGCTTTAGGTCTGGTTGCTGAATTCGCAGCTTTCTGAGACGATAGAGCAGCGAGTGACTTGCCGATCGTCTTCTTTGCTACGAACTTGGTGGAAGCGGGCTTCTTTGTTGGAGTCCTGACTGGCGGCTTCTCATTATCACTGTCAGACATCGAGTCGCCCTGGAAAGATTGAGATGAGCAAGGTTCCTTCTTGATTATTTTGTCTGCCATCGCGATTTATGTCAAGTAGAAACCTGAATTTGAGAACATGGGGTGTGAAAATATTGGATAGGGGATCGTATCAGCACACCTTATGATAGTGTATATGAGTGGTTTGCAGAATTTAAAAGGATTGTAAGTGGAAGAGGGAAGATGAGGGGTACTAGAGTGAATCGGACTCTATTGAGATATTATGGAGAACCGCTAAGGGTGAAGGTGGGACCTTCAAGACTCAATGGGGACTTCAAAGGTGAGCAAATGATGATGTTATGTGAGCGTGCAAAGGGAGAAGTGTCGTTAGATGATGAGAATCTAATCAGGTATGGAATTTGGCAAATTCACTGATAATCAATAGCGAACAACGCCTGGCCTGCACTTGTAATAGTTTGGATAAAGCGATTGTATATCTTCGAATAGAAAAGATGAGATGAAATTGCTAGATCGAGGCTGTCGAGTCGAAAGATAGAGATAAAATGGTGAATAACCGATCATGGGAGGAGCAGCGTTTTGATACAAATGCGGGGTAGTGAATAAAATGCAAAAACGCAAACGACCGAAGCAAACGACTGAAACAAACAACTGTTATGTTTCTACAAGTTGTAGGCTCGCTGTGCTGGAAATATTGTGCATATGTTGAGAGGCTTTTACTAACCTTTTTGAAGGGATAGCTTGATTGTGAACTCTGAGGAAAGTATCCGATCTACAAGTTTTGGCGACTTTCAACTAATATCAGATGCATTTGATTTATCAACACTATGTACATGCATTCCTTGATGGCGCTTTGCCCCCATAGATCCCGATGCTACATGAATAACTCATGGGCCGTAGTGTGCGTAAATTTGTCTTTTACGTAGATGCACAGGGGTTTCGCCTGCGGGGGTATCTGGAATAACCTTCTCGATTTTCTATGCACGACCCATATGATTAGTCGCTGGCTCTTCGTCGTAAATTTTGTGAAAAGACATACCAGATTATCAAATACACATTTATTAAGCTTCCACTCCTGTGGTCGACATTGCCATAGTTGCTGGTTGTTGTTATCGAGACATTTCCTGAAACATTATTAGATATGACTAATTCCATCACATCCGGAGTTCATAGAGTGTAACTTACCAATGTTTCCTGAACTCCTCAAGGCAGTGTTTGTTCATATCTTCAATTCTATGATTGGCGATTAGCCTAGAGTTCTACTGGTAAAATTGAAGTATCCAGCCAAGATTTGCTCTAAATCCCAAGCCCCTTCATTGATATATGAAGGTCCACATCTGCAACCTCTTAAGGAGTAGCACTTACACGCTCCTCGCACATCTGGTAACTCTTCGACCCTCCTTCAAACAATCAATCTCTCCCTTTCCAGGATTGTCATTCTTGCATTGCATGAAATCGTCATTGTATGGTCTGCATCTTGCGCCGATAAAGAAACTCGCGGACAATAATGGCGCCGAACTGCTACCAATCTCTGTGACGGGCGGAATATCCGCAGGTAATGGGGTAGTGTCAATCAAGACTTGCTGATTGAATCTGTGATCGCGGTTAGTATCAGGTAAAAGTGTGGTAATTTGCAAGTCCTAAAACATACCTGGGTTGACGGGCAGCCATTTTGAAATATGTTGTGAGGAGATATTGGGTTCGCAAAGCCCGTAATTGAGTGTTTGGGAGGTTCAATGCAGTATGAAGCTTTAAGGTCAAGTCAAAAACGCGGAAGTTGATTGGCTCATCAGCCGACCTCTCAGCAATCGCGACCGATCAAAAGAGCTTCATCCTGACAACGAATTTACGTTCCAGCAAAATAAGAATTCAATTCACTCTCTATACCTCTCACCCTGTGAAAAATATTGTATCAGCTTCAACATTGAACAGTATCTCGCCAACTAATTTCTATTGTTCATGTTTTAGCTTAGAAAAACTAAATTGCCGCAACGTATATCCGATAAAATATTCCAGTCCCAATAATATATTATCAAGCGCGTTCGCAAGGTCAACATTTTCTTAAGTAGCTGCAATTATCCACTGTGCCACGATTTCCTCGAGGCTACTTGCATCTTCCCTCATTGATTCTATTCCGGCACTTCTACATTCCCGGACGCATAGAAGAACAGCTATGTTTGGAAGTACTTTCGGTCAAAGCCAGCCAGCTGGCGGAGGTTTATTCGGGTCAACAAATACCGCACAACCTTCAGGTGGTTTATTTGGGTCTACAAATACCGCGCAAAAGCCAGGAGGATTGTTTGGCTCGACTACAACTACAGGAGCTCAAAATCAGGGAGGAGGGCTCTTCGGCGGCGCAGGGCAAAATACTCAACAAAATCAACAACAGACTGGCGGACTCTTCGGTGGAAGCACTCAACAGAACCAACCTCAAGCGGGAGGATTATTTGGAGCAAATGCACAACAGCCGCAGCAGCAACAACAACCGGGAGGTTTATTCTCTGGACAGACTATGGGAGCGCAGCAGCAAGCGGCCCAGCAGCAGCAAAACACAATCCTGGGAGGATCACAGCAACAGACTGGTTTATTTGGGCAGACTCAATCGTCGCAAGCTTTGGGCCAGTCACAAGGACAATTTGGAAATTCTTTGTTTACAAATACAAGTGCACTGAAACCTCGTACGTACCTATCGAGACTCATTCAAAGCGCGAACTAATTTTGATGTAGGAGAAAAGAGTGTGATAGATCAGATTGAAACAGTTGTGGGTAAATGGGATACAGGAAGCAAGGACTGTGCCTTCCAATATTTCTTCTATAATAACGTTGGTGTGGACGAAGCACCATTCTATCAACCACAACCCAACGAAGACCCAAGAGCTTGGGAAGAAGCCCTTTCGAAAAAGCCAGGACCTGGATATATTCCAGTCGCATGTATCGGTTTCCAAATGATGGGCGACAGAATCAAAGCTCAGCAAAATCATCTTGCAGCATTCAATACTCGGTTACATAGTATCAATGCTAGTTTATCGAACCTACTTCAAAATCACGACACGAGAACGAGTATACGGGCCATGGATGCGAGGAGGAAACATGTCGTCTTGAAACAACGATGCATAGCATTGGCGACTAAAGTGCAGGTCCTAAGAAACAGAGGCTATGCTCTTAGTGGAGACGAGGAGGACCTGAAAGCTAAACTTATTAAGATAGAAAAGGGGGCTAGCGATCCAGCATTGGGTGCCAGAGCAGAAGAGATTTGGGCTCGAATGATCAACGTTCAAGAGCGAGGTCGGTTATTGAGGACGGAACTGGAGAAGGTTGGGCAAGAAAATGGAGAGATTTTGGACGACACCATGACCGCGCGATGCAAGAAGGTAATTGACACAGTTTCTACCGAAGTAATGATATGATGCTGACTCACAAAATAGATTCTCGAAGACTATCAAACTCAATTAGCACATTTAAAAAAGGAGTTGGATAGGGTACACAAGGATTATGTCGAATGGGAAAAAGAGCAGCCACCACAAATAGCAGCGAGGACAAGATTTGGCCGATGATTGATGCGAAATACCCATGGTTAATTTGATCGGAAGTGCTTTAGACTTCATGGAGTTGGTTGGGATGTAAAAAAAGGATAGACATTGTATAATATGGAAGCTTAATTACAGACTAAAAGTAGTAATTTCTCTTTCACTTCCATTTGATCGCAAATAACTGCCTATAATGTATTGATTTTGAAAGTTAGGCTTATGCACATGTCATAATTACGCCCTTATCATTTCTCTCCATAGGGCCAAGTGACTCATAGCCTAAGATCAACCTCCTATAAAGATAAGAGACCACATTTGATGTCGGAATTCAAAAGCCTTCATCTGTACTATCAAGCGACCAATTGATTTTCGCAAACTTTTCATTCAAAATGACACCACCCCCAATCCCATCCGTCTCCTTCTACCCCGCCGACTTCGAGACCTCCTTCCCGACCGTCTCCCCAAATGCCCCTCCCTTCCCCTCATTGACTCCCCTTTCCCACACCACAAATCGCATTTCCCTCGTTCCGCTCTCTGCAGATCACATCCCGGACCTCTGGAAACACGTCGGCGGGGCGGAAAAATATATGCTCTACAAACATATGCCCAGCGGACCCTTTAACACCATTGAAGACTTCACAGCATATCTCACGTGGCTTATTAATTACTCCGAATCTAGCTTCGTTAGTTGGGCAATCATCTTACCAAGTGGAGAAGCCGTGGGAATTATAAGTCTGTTGAATATTGTACCAGATCAGAGGAGAATTGAGGTTGGGCATGTTTTATTCTCGAAGATACTGCAGAGGACCACAGAGGCAACAGAAGCTTGTTTTGTTTTGATGGATTATTGTTTCAAGTTGGGGTATGAGAGAGTAGAGTGGAAATGCAATGCGGAGAATATGGGAAGTAAGAGGGCGGCGGAGAGATTGGGGTTTGTAGCGGAGGGGCTTTTCAGGAGACACATGGTCGTCAGGGGACGGAGGAGGGATAGTTGGTATGCGAGTGTGATTTTGGATGAGTGGGAGGGGGTTAGGGAGGCGCTAGTGGAGTGGTTGGAGCTGGAGAATTTTGATGAGAAAGGGGGGCAGAAGAGGAAGGTGGAAGAGATTAGGGAGAAGTTGCTGAGGAAGTTCGACTAGAGAGCCGGTAGAGGGGCGAGACTGGTGCTGGTGGGAGAAGAGGAGAAGAGGGCGAGAACTTCTTTTTCATGTAGACTTGACTTGATAGATGCATAGAAACATGATCTTGTATGACGTATCTAGTAGCAGTATTCCGGATATTACAAAAAGCGTTTTTGTTCATGTGTAACTTCGTTTTGATAGCCTCTTTTATCTTTGGCTGCAATGCCTTGAAGAGCGGAGTTACGTTTCTAGAGCTCTCCAGAGTATATTTATGATCCCCTCTCGATCCTCGCGATTTTTACTCTCTAGCACGAAAGAGATATATGTGATAATGCCAGCAATTCATATATGCAGCGTTTGCACATTATATCCATGCATATTTCCATCCTATTGTACACCTCCTCGATCTTCTCATGCGCTTATGTTGTACAGGTCATGATGCATTATTCGTTTGCAATCCTAGATGAGGTTTTGAATGCTCTTGACGGCGAAAGGTGCTATCGGAAAGTCAGTACAGATAGGGTACTAATAGAAAAGAGTAAAACATACAAAGATAAAGAAGAATAGACCATGTAATGACTCGTTGCACGGTGAGGGTAGCTTCTTCCTCTTGAGCCTTAAGCTCGGCTGCCGATGGTGGTGGTGGTGCTAAGATTGAAGTTAGAAAAGTTCGCAGATATGCTTTAGAGATTTCACCTACGTCCCCCGAACATTTTTGTGGTATAAAATGGTAGATGTGTTGAAGTATTAAGGTCGACGATGAGTTGATGTTTTACACACTACAATTATGAATTTTAATCTTTCTTTCCGTCACATTTGCTTACTACTTCCATGTGCGTAATTAGAACATTTAAGGTTTCTTGGTACACTAAACCGAAAACGGGTTCGTGGCTCATCAATCACTGTTTTGAGTGAATCTTATTCGGCTTGACTGAACTTATCTTGTCATGAATCCTTATCCCGCCTCTAGTTCTATCATATTAGAAAAAAAAGTTACTAGTTGCATAACCATTAGATTTCATATATAATAGACTCATCTCTCATCTTGTCGTTCATTTATACTCCCTGTCGTTTTCCTGTATTGTTCATAAATCTCATATCTCACTCATATCTGATACTATCTCTATCATCTTATCTGAATGTGGGGTTTATGACAGTCGGTGCACTCACAATCCTAGCTGTTCCTAATATTTCCGGACCCCTCCCCAGAATTTAACTTTCGTACAGCTCACTCCTAAATCCACCGATTCTCTTTCTTAATAAGTTTCGCAACCAAACCTTCAGGTTCAAGAGCTTCGCGGATTTCTGCAAACTCAAGAACAATGGTTGCCTCAAGTCTTGCACTTCGTGCTCGATTTGCTCGAGTGGCGCTTCAATCGAGAAGTCCTTCTTTGAGAAGCTCAACCATCACACGACCATGGAGCTCTGGTCAATCTCCATGTTCTGCCACTGTTCTGAAGCCAATTGGACGACGAACTTTCTACAAAAGCTCTGCAAAGGATGAGACAATCAACTCGCCTTCGACTTTAAGTTCCAGGGGAGTGTATGCTCCGTTGGACACCTTTGCGCGCCGACATATTGGCCCCGATGCGGATTCTACAGAACAAATGTTGAAAGCTTTGGATCCGCCAGTCAAGAATTTGGACGAGTTTGTGGAGCAAGTTTTACCTCGCGACATTTTGTCTTCTAAAGATCTCAAAATCGACGCCAAATCAGAATCGTCACAAGAAGGGTTCACAGAATCTCAATTGCTTGCAAGACTAAAGTCGATTGCGTCCGAAAATACTATTATGCGAAGTTATATTGGATGTGGATATGCCGGAACCCGAGTTCCGGAGGTTATCAAGAGAAATGTGTTGGAAAGTCCAGGATGGTACACTAGCTACACGCCATATCAACCTGAGATTAGTCAAGGTCGGTTAGAATCGCTTTTAAACTTCCAAACACTTGTCTCCGATTTGACGGCTTTACCAATCTCCAATGCCTCGCTACTCGATGAATCCACCGCCGCTGCCGAGGCTATGACCTTGTCAATGAATGCCCTTCCACTTGCTAGGCAGAAAAACAAGAATAAGACATTTTTTGTTAGTCATTTAGTCCACCCACAGACGTTAGCAGTTTTACATAGCCGAGCAGATGGATTTGATATAAAGATTGAAGTTGGAGATGTTCTTGCAGATGGTGGGGCTCGTCTCAAGGAACTTGGCAATGATCTTATTGGAGCTTTGGTACAATACCCTGATACCGAGGGTGGCGTTGAAGACTTCCGTGGCTTAGCAGATGTCATTCATGCTCAAGGCGCAACTTTCAGTGTTGCTACTGATCTCTTAGCTCTTACTGTCCTCACACCGCCTGGTGAGTTTGGTGCCGATATTGCTTTCGGAAATGCTCAGCGTTTTGGTGTTCCATTTGGTTATGGTGGTCCACATGCCGCTTTCTTCGCGGTCAGTGACAAATACAAGAGGAAGATTCCTGGACGTCTCATTGGTGTGTCGAAAGATAGGCTGGGGGACAAGGCAATGAGATTGGCTTTGCAAACTAGAGAACAGCATATCCGCAGAGAAAAGGCTACTAGCAATGTGTGCACGGCTCAAGCATTATTGGCCAACATGAGTGCATTCTATGCAGTCTACCATGGTCCCGAAGGTCTCAAGGCTATTGCTAAGAGAGCTATCCAAGGAGCTCGATTTGTTCAGGATGGACTCAAGAGTCTTGGATTTGAGACCAACTCTAGAGGAACGGGCTCCGACGGAAAAGTTCTCTTTGACACGGTCGTGGTTGATGTTGGGCAAGGCAAATCTAATGAAGTCCTTAACTATGCCACCGAGACTTTCAAGATCAATCTAAGAAAGTTCGATGACAGCCGACTTGGTATCACTATTGACGAAACGGTTGACATTAAGGATCTCGAGGACATCATATCCGTATTCGCCAAGTTTTCCAAGACAGGATCGGGATCTTTTGAAAACACTACTGAGTTGCAAACTCCCTTTGATAGTTCGATTCCTGCAAAATTGAAGAGATCATCCCAATACCTGACTCATCCTGTCTTCAACACACACCACTCCGAAACCGAGATCCTTCGTTACATTCATCACCTCCAATCAAAGGACCTGTCCCTTACACATTCCATGATACCCTTGGGCTCCTGCACAATGAAGCTCAATGCTACTACCGAAATGGCTCCTGTCACATGGCCAGAATTCTCCTCAATTCATCCCTTTGTTCCTACTAATCAGGCAACTGGTTACAAGACTATGATCGATGAGCTTGAGGCTGATCTGGCTACTATCACTGGATTTGATGCAGTATCTCTGCAACCAAATTCAGGTGCACAGGGAGAATTTACCGGGTTACGTGTGATTCGCAAGTTCCAAGAACAACAGCCTGGGAAGAAGCGTGATATTTGCTTGATTCCTGTTTCTGCCCATGGTACCAACCCTGCATCAGCTGCTATGGCAGGTATGCGCGTTGTTACTGTAAAATGTGACATCAAGTCTGGTAACCTCGATATGGCAGATCTCAAAGCAAAATGTGAGAAATATAGCGAAGAACTTGGAGCTATTATGATCACATATCCAAGTACGTTTGGTGTTTTTGAGCCAGAAATCAAGGCTGCATGCGATCTTGTTCATCAACATGGAGGTCAAGTATATATGGACGGTGCCAACATGAATGCTCAAATTGGATTGTGTTCACCTGGGGAGATCGGTGCCGATGTATGCCATCTTAATCTCCACAAGACATTCTGTATTCCTCACGGTGGTGGTGGCCCAGGTGTTGGTCCAATTGGTGTTAAATCTCATTTGGCACCATTCCTACCTGGTCACCCATTGGTAAAGACTGGTGGTGAGAATGCCATAGCCCCCGTCAGCGGTGCTCCTTTCGGAAGTGCCAGTATCTTGCCAATTAGTTGGGCTTATGTAAAGATGATGGGCGGTAGAGGATTGACTCATGCTACCAAGATCACTCTTTTGAATGCCAACTATATCATGTCTCGTCTCCGACCTCACTACCCAATCCTATATACTAACGCCAATTCTCGTTGTGCTCACGAGTTCATCCTCGATGTTCGTGGTTTCAAAGAGTCGGCAGGTGTTGAGGCTATTGATATTGCCAAGCGTCTTCAGGATTATGGTTTCCATGCTCCAACTATGAGTTGGCCAGTCGCCAATACCCTTATGATTGAGCCCACTGAGTCTGAAAGCAAGGAAGAACTTGACCGCTTCATTGATGCATTGATATCAATCCGTAAAGAAATTCAAGCCGTGGAAGATGGCACCATTCCAAAGGCAGGCAACGTCTTGAAGAATTCGCCACATACTCAGAAGGATCTTCTTATTGGAGAATGGAATCGCCCATACACTCGAGAGCAGGCTGCATACCCATTGCCTTATCTCAAGGAGAAGAAATTCTGGCCATCCGTCACCAGATTGGATGATGGTAAGCTTCTCTGTATTCCTATGTAATTTTATTTGCTAACACACCTCCAGCCTACGGCGATACCAATCTCTTCTGTACATGCGGACCCGTGGAAGCAACTGAAGATGCTGAAAACGGTATCACTGGTGTTTCGGCTCCACAACCTACATAATTGCATTTTAGCATTTTGTTTTGCACATTTTAACATTTAGCGAGCATATGGTTAACTTTTTCTTTCAGGTGGGAAAGGAAAGGTTAATACCAAAAGGAATTTCAACATGAATAATTCAACATTGGGAGGAGTTGTGGGTATCTATCTATCATGTATTATGATATGATGTGATGTGATCATGACTTGGGATGCATAAGGCGTTTAAGAATATACAAACATATAGAGGGTTCTTTGGCTTCAACCGCCAGGAGGGGATTGGGACTCATGAATGGATGGATCCATAGATGGTTACTCAAAACGGTTTATATTTTGCTTTGATGTTTAAAGATCAATCACTTTTGATGAAGCGTGATTGTGTGGATGAATGGGGGAACTTTTTAGATAGGGATTGCGAAATATATAAGCAATGATATCTCGTACATTTCTGACTTTCACATGGAAGCATGTTCCTGCTTGATTTATCCTACTATGAGACATAGGATGTCTAAATGCAAGGTCTCAAAGTGAAATAAAACATTCATATTCCCAGTCACTATAAGTATGGGACTAGTGTCCCTCCTGCACACATTGAAAGTTTAAAAGATTCAGTACCTTTGGGGGAAGGAGGGCTAGCTTGTCATTTAGATCGCTCCACGTTATGGCCTGTGAAGTACGAAATTTGAATGCACATGCTTATAAAAATTTTTTAGTATGGAGTCGATAAAAATTCACAGGCAACGTCCTGCAATATTTCATCTATCTATCTATCTATCTATCTATCATCGGCAACCGGAAAGCGTTTGCTCTTCTTATAAGTGTTCGAGAAGAGACCATCTCTGATACACTGTTTGGAGAGGAGTTCAGATACAAAAAATGGGCGCTATTGTTGGATCAGTTCCATGATGTTTGAGGAATTTCGTTGTTGTTTTTCCGCTTGAATTTTGCGGTCGCTTCCGGAATGAGGATTAGATTGTATGTACCGTCAACCCTTTTTTCCAAAGATTCAACCAGTTGAAACTCTATTATTGTATTTATTTACTGGAGCGAGTCGTGGTAATATTCTAAAAGTCTCTCAAAAGTGTTTTGGTGCGTGTATGGTTTTAACGGGAGTGAAACGGTCGTGCTACCGGTTTCAAAATGTGTTGAAATTGTAATTTATTTATTGTCTTTAATCTTGATTCAACTTTTTGTAATCCATATCTTTCAAACCATCATTTTCATTATCGTCGCCAGCTTCCTCGCCAACCACCTCCACCGTGCCCTTCAAAAAGTTATCTTTCCGACAGTTGCTGCACAAGTTAAGCCATCAAAGCTCTGCCGTCTATGATCATAATCATGGCGTCGTGTCACGGCTATTCCAAGAAATGTGGACATTGGCTGCTTTGCACGCCTCAAATACCTCAGCACAGCGTTCATTACCTTCGACATTATGGATTTCCTTGTTGCACCAAATCACAGACCGCCCAAAGATGATTGAACGTAGTCCTGTGTATTGCGTATCCTTATTCTTCACAATTTCACAGATGAAATCGCTCAGCTCCCCTAGTTCAAGATCTTTATCGTTAATGAAGTGCCAAGATTTCTCTTAATAACAGGGATAAAGAAGAAGAATGCCACCCAAACATATTCGTTATTCATCTCAATGTGCAGTTTCTCAAGGGCAGGTGGAAGAATTTTCGAGATTGCTGTGGCGGAATGGGAGATACCATAATCGGCCGCGTCTGACTGAGAGGTGAACAGAAAATTAAGCGGCAGCCCAATTTATCTTAGATTGGTGAATGAATGAAGGTCAATGGACTGCCTTGGATCAAAAATAGGCTCATCGCCAGTGGTGTGGCCTTCGATGAAGAGTTCTTCAAGGCAATGTTCATGCGGTTTCAGAGCGTCGCTGAATTCTTTCGCTGATAAAACAAATCTATCTGGGCGACGAGAACTTTCGAACCGCCGATATTTACGAATCTCTGAAAGCGCAAGCTCGTAGCGGAAAGACTTTAGAGCCTTTGGCCACGATATAAACTTCATCAAGCCTCGATCTGTTGGCACCGTGTTGGTGAGGGATAAGGATGTAATGTTTGAGGTACTCGATCTATCGGGGCTATCCTGCATGAATAAATCCCAATCTCGAACGCCGGATAGAGCGAGTAGTTTCACGTCAGGGAACTCAAAAGATGAAAGGATTAACTCCTTGTACGTAACATTTTTAAGATCTCTTGTTTGCTTATCGATGTCGTCTCTTTCTGATATTTCAACTTCCAAGCAGTTCGTAAGAGACAAGAGTGCTCTGTTTCGGAACATTGTGTCCAATGCGCAATTTAGATGAAGATATGCAAGGGAGGGTCGCAGAAGTTGGACTACTGAAAATACGGATTCTTCTTGATTTGATCGATAAGTGATAGAAGCACCAACAACATAGGAACGTATCACTTCTGATTCGGTGACGGTACGGAGGAAGAGGTCCAGATCAAAATACGTGTAGTACCATATATTTGATCCGTGTCATATAAAGGTGATGATCTTAAGTGCTGATATCTGCTCCTCCAATCCGGAAAGCTGGGAGCATCATAACTGCTTTTACCAGGCTGCCACAGATATATATATATATCGATATAGTTGTGGAGTCTAACATCGATTAAAGGCCCTTGACACTAGAGAGAGAGAACGGAGAGAGCCGCTAGGAACCAATGAAACAATAATCGAAAGAAGTTCATCGGGCAATGCTGCGAGCCCCACCATCTTGAATCTCCAGTAATGAGGGCCACAGAATGTGATACTAGTCATGAAATTTTTTGATGGTGGGTGAGTGAAGAATTGTTGACTGCGTTGAAAATGCGAAGAGTAGATTTTTAGGCAGTGAAGTTATGGCGTAGAAAAGAGCAAGCGAGATGGTGTGCGATTAAAGAATGGGCAATAATATTAATACTTTGCAAAAGGTTCAAGGAGACAAGCTTCAGAATGGCCTGCCAATCGGCTATAATCGGGTCTCTAGCTCCAGCTCCACGGTGATTATTGACCATATGTGTAAGGGAACCCGTCTTGAATTTCCGCCCACAACTTCTTTAGAAAATTCAGTTCTATATAGTGAGTACTAGAGCTGACATCGAATCGTGCTTTATGCAGATAAATAGACTTTCATCAAATACTTTTTCGGCTCCGTGTTCACGAACGAAGACAACCCATGCTGCCAGCGTTTTCTCGTAAACATTCTTCATCTAAGTACACCGATCCTCATATCCCGGCAACAAACGGCAACGAGCCTTCAAACGCTATTTTTCCATACACCAAATGAAGAAAATGGAGCCTGGACAAGAAGTCAAAGGCTTTCAATCTCCTGAGCCCATTTCTTCAAGCTATACAGACCGTTGAAACAGATACAACAGAAAAGAATTGGACTTGTGGAACGCTACTTGAGTCTGTTGAAACTCAACTCGGTAAATCGAAAATACTCGCAAATACTACAGAGCCACATAATTTTTGGTACTAAAATCTCAGTAGCTCAAGTTAAATTCAAGTAAGTCAAAAGTGACGTATGTTGAGGCTTGTAAATTCATTCCCTGAAGCTTATGATAGTCCACTTTGCGATAATATATGAGAACCTTACGATTTTCGAACTTATCTGGAACATCTAGAGTGTCGCGAACATTGAATTCCCTTCGACTTAGACGTACTTTTCGACACTGAGATACATCCAGACATCGGGGTGCTTTTAGTTGCTGAAACCTCGTATTTACTCTACTGTTCCGGGAGCCCTATATTTCCCCTCTTTCTACTTTGACCTGGCGAGCAGGTCAAGAATAAATACGCAAAGGCGTTCGACGCCTTGGCTGGAGCGTCCCCAGAAGGCTTCTACCAGCGTAACAGAGACGCTTTGTTGGACTTCTCCGGCGACTCAGTAGAACAAATACAAAAGCGCGACCGTAAGCTCATCGGGTTCACTACCTGCTCGACCAACAGTACCAGTACCGCTCTTCCTACCGATCTGCCAAAGTTTTCCGAGACTAATGTTTCGGCAGCCAGTACCTCAACGCCTAGAATTTGTCAACAACCCCACTTATCTCTATAAAAAGACTTCCTCGAGCTTTAATTGAGATATACCAGAAATGTCTACAAGAGATGCGAACAATTCATATGTCTCCTTGAAATTGGAACACAGTTTTGATATTTTTATATTTAGTATGCTGGCCATCATTGGTGATGGACAATAATTCGAGTAAATAGACAAAGTTGTTATATGTCTGCTGCTGTCATGAATATGTAACCGTCGTTGTTCTCTGCGTGTGACGATGAACTGCTTCTTATTGCTGTCAATCACCATCATGCCAATATGTATAAGGCTTGCGAGAAGAGTGTGCTTGCATTGCAGGGTAAGCAACACATAGGTGACTCCTGATATTCAAGACTTCCTGATCATTAGCGAGTCTCAAGCCCTAACGAGTTTCTTTGTCCACGAACTTCAGTTTTCCAGTAAGACAGACTTATATACATGGGCACCGTGCCTACTTTGAAGAATGTGCTCTTCTAATCTTATCGACCACACACAATCACCAAAAACAGACAACCAATACACGGAATCTCAACTATTTAATTCACAACGTATATAAAACCACATAAATCCAACTGGAACTTAATAAGTAGCAGCCAATCTCTGTACCAGATACTCTCCCGAATTAATCCCCTCATATTTTCTCTCCCCGAGTTCCCCACCATACGTTCCCTCAATTGCTTCAATCATCCGATCGAAATTTGGATTACAAAAGTACGCAATACTATATCTCGCAGGATAGACACCCTCTTCCGGAACCTCTTGCCCCTCCTTAGGAGGTGGTTCCACGACTCTATGCAATGTACTCCTAATGAAATCATTACTCCACCTCGCCAACAAATCTCCTGCATTAACTACCACGGTTCCCGGCACTGGTGTCGCATCAACAAATGTTCCTTTGGGGCTCTTAACTTGGAGTCCTCCTCTATCATCTTGGAAAAGGAGTGTGATGCTCCCATAATCTGTATGCTCCCCGGCTCTAACTTGCAATTTATTTTCCTTAAATACACTTGCTTTCGCAGGTGGATAATGGAGTAAGCGAAGTGTATTATCTCCTGCACTTGTGAATCCATCAAAATAGGATTCGGGAAGCGACATGCCAAGAGCAATGGCTCGCATAACATTTATATGAAGCTCCTTGCACAAATCATGGAACTTCAACATCGTCTCTTTGAACTCTTTGGCATCAGGGTCTGAAGGAGTAATAGCAGGCCAATTATTAGGTAGTTGTTCTTGACCTTCACGTCCAATCTCAAAACTCTCTTTTAAATCTGGCGCTTGGGCCTTCAATTTCTCAACCTCTTCTTTATCTGTGAGTGTGGTGGTTTTCTCGCGACCATGGGCTACATATCCGCGATTTGCGAGGGGTGTGGTCCAGGCTAATGGATCTTTTTCAGAAGAGGGACGAGCGAAGAATTTGGCGGATGTGGAAAAGGTGTGGGATAGGACGGGTGGAGGAATAGGGTGGTGGGAAAGGTAGATAAACCCTGCGGTGCGGAAACCGTGGAGAATGGATTGAGCAGTTTGGAGACGTTGCGAGGGAGTGCCAGTGAGGAAGTTGGAGAAGTTTATTATCTGTGAAGTAATATTGTTAGCACCAGGCTAAGTGTAGATGTGTGTCGAGATTAGGACAAGACTGGAAAGCGGATTGAAATGACGGGAGATTTACAGGAATGACGAGATTATCAACATCCACAGCCTTTTTTACTTCTATCGACATCTTGTCTGATGCTGTTCTTCAATATTCACAATATTGTCGTTGTTGCCAAATTAATAACCAGACAAAATTACGTTTCTACTAAAAAGTTTATATCACCCAAACCCCTCACTTAAAAACGCCGCACGCGGCCAAAGCCGTTCTCCGCATTCGGTCCAATGCAAGATAGTATGTATCTACTCTCCAAAAAGGGCAGGTAAGTGATTCAAAAGGGAAGAGTTATGATAAGCATTTACGAGTAAATGATAAGATAGGGTTGTGATCGGGATTTAAATAGGAGGTGGGGTTGCTGAACAGGGGGAGTACTAGTGCGGGGTAGGTTGATGTCTAGCTATCTTGATATTGTCATGCATTTTATTACATACTAGATTGAATTACCATTGTATGATTAATCAAGTGATTTCGAAATATGTGTTCTCATGAAGAGTGAACTTGTCTTTTTTTTATGTTTAAAATCTTCTACAAGTTCTTTTCGTGAATTTGTCTTACATTCTATTCCTCGACCCTTCTTCTATTTCACAGTTTCCTCTATTGCGCCGAAGATTGCTCAAGAAGAACCGTCAAAATGTCCTCCTCAGTCCCGATAGTAGATATTCACACTCATATCTATCCGCCATCTTATATTGAGCTTCTCAAATCGCGTGATGAAATCCCTTATATAAGACAATTTCCTCCGGCGAAAGAACATCGATTGGTTATCTTGCCAGCAGAGGATACACCAAGTACAAGTAGGGGAAGACCAATTGGGTCCGAGTAGTAAGTTTATGTGTTTTTTCCTATATATCTTGCTATTTTGAGAGATCTCAATAGTAAAATGAAGGAGACGGGGGGAGAGGTGGATTGACGAGGGTCAATGAGATGAGGAATGCATGTGGTGTGGTAGAGGAGGAGACTAGCGAGAGGTCGAGGGTCAAGTGACCAGCCTCCTAAGTAGCATATCCAGCTGTAGAATTTGATAATTTTGAGCTTCATATTGGACAAATAATCGATTCTTAATCTATTCCCCGGTAGTCTGTGTAAGAAAGAAGCTCTTCAAAAAACCTCACTGCCTCCTGTTCTCCATACCTTTCTTCAGTATCTGTATTCAAACTCTCAAATTGCAAACTAATCCCCTGAACCTCTAGCTATGACATCTCCGAAAGAATTGCCTTCATGGACACCCACTCCATCCGAACCTCCATAATCTCCCTCGCAAACCCCTGGCTCGACTGGCTTCCCTCCTTCACCGCCCTCCAAGCCGCCTTATCAATCAACACGGAAATAAACTCTCTCTGCACCCTTCACCCAACGCGTCTCTATTTCTTCGGCACGCTCCCCCTATCCGCCCCTCCATCCTCCATCCTCGAAAGCATCGCCCACCTCAAAACCCTTCCTTATTGCCGAGGCATCATCCTCGGAACCAGCGGACTCGGCTCTGGACTCGACGATCCCGCTCTCCTCCCCATCTTCAAAGAATTAGCCGCCAACAATTTCCCCATCTTTCTGCATCCGCACTACGGTCTCCCAACCTCGGTATTTGGTCCCAGAGGAAATGATTACGGTCATATTCTTCCTCTCGCACTTGGTTTCCCAATGGAAACCACCATCGCCGTTACCCGCATGATTCTCTCCTCGGTATTTTCTTCCGTGCCGGATCTACAGGTCATTCTAGCGCACAGCGGTGGCACCCTTCCATTTTTGGCAGGGAGAATAGAAAGTTGCGTCTTGCATGACGCGCATCTCAAGGCCGAAGGAAAATTAGCCGAGGGCAGAAAAACTATCTGGGAAATCTTGAAGAAGAATATCTGGTTAGACGCGGTAGTGTATGGAGATGTAGGAGTTCGAGGAGCAGTTGGGGTGAGTGGGGCGGATAGAGTCATGTTTGGAACCGATGCGCCGTTTTTCCCACCGTTAGATGAGGAGGAGGAAGGGCAAGGAGAAGAGGCCAAGCAATGGCTAAGTGTTTCCATGAATAAAGATGCTATTAGTAGCGCGTGCGGCGCGGGAAGTGAGGAGGAAAAAGCTATTCTGGGAGGTAATGCGATTCGACTTTTTGGGTTGGATTTGGATGCTTCCGGGTAGATTGGCTCGGCATGGATTAGCATCGCATATCGTACATCAATATGTTATATTAAAAGCTCATAGCATAGTTTAGCATAGCATAGCATAGCATACAGAAACAAAAGTACAATTTGAAGTCTTCAAAAACTAGGATGGCCTTGCACTTCCCGTTCTTCTATACATTCTATATACTTTTATATAATATCGAAGTAGTCGAGGACAACTGCTTAAGAGCAAGCAAAGTGAGACAACCGAATTGATGAAGTGATGTTGCATATTCTCTACTTTTATCTCAACCTTACTATACACCAATATCCATAACATCCCCCCTCTTCTCGATCCATTCCATTCCATCTAGCCCTAGCCCCTATCCCCATCTCTATTTTTATTTCTATTTCTATCTCTATCTCTATTTCTATCTCCATCTCTATTCCCACCTCATCCCACCTAGCCCCCATCCCCATTCCCATCTCCATCCTAACTCACAACCACTACCCCCTCCACATAATACTCCTCAGCCTCTCTCTATCCCCCTCACCACCAAAAATCGAATCAATCCCACCTCTCGCGAGCTTACAAATCGCATCTCTATCGAGATGGAAATGTTTTGCGATAAGTGCGTATTCATCTGAGAGTTTACTTCCGAAGACTCCTACGTCGTCGGTCTGCGAGATTGGGGTTTTCGTTAGTGGTTTTCCGTAGAAAATAGAGCTTTTTCTTCGAGTTCTTTGATATATTGTTTCCCATTTCATCTCAAACTACTAAGTCCAGCTCTCTACGCCTCCTTCATCCTAGAAACCGTCGGATAAAGTAAAATAAAATGAAAGAATCAAGAGAGAAAAAATGAAGAAGAAAGTAAGGGAATCTAAACACATACACACAAAATTACTTTCGCGCCTCTTCTCCACCACTCCCCAAAATGATGGTCTCCATACGTGCCGACGATCATTTTCGCATGAACGTTACAGCTCAAGCAAAGTTCCAATCCTAATCCCATCTTTTCAATTTCCGGTTTGAGATTTTCTGGTACATGGATCACATGTCCTATTCTATGCGGTTTATACGACAGTAGTGTTTTGAGTTCCATGCTAGTGGGTGCTTGCGCCACTTCTGCAAAATGGATTGTGATTTTGAGGTTGTATTTTTGAGCTAAGAAGAAAGCGGGTTCGAAGATGGATACATCGCCTACAGATGGGTCGCCACAAAGATCAATTCCTACGACTCCTTTGCCGTGGTATTTGTATGCTAGCTCCACGACATCCATAGCTGTTTGAGCATCATTTCGGCGGTCGATAGAGAGGATCAGGTTTGTTTTCATGAAATTATTAGAGTTGTTGTGTTGAGCGATACAGTCGAGTATTGTTTGAACGTACATTTCTTTGGTGATACCTGCGGAAGGGATGGCTCGAGGTGTGGTCCGGAGTTCAAGATAGATGACGCCATCTGCTTGAAAATCCGAAAGAACGGAGTTTGTGGTATAGATCAAGGAGGCAAGATCGTTGACGAGAGCGTAAATATATCTGGAGAATAATGGAAAGAATCTAGAAAGACATGACATGAGATATGGAAGGGTCGCACGAGGTCCAAAAGTAAAGTATCCATGGCTCGACTCAATAAATTGAATCCGATCTTCTGACGCTTGAATAGCTTGTAGTCCTTGAAAAGCCAGAAATTCTCAAGAACGATTTTGTCATCTGAGTGGTTTTGATGTGGCAAATGGACTCAACATTTCGAAGTATTTAAACACCTCGGAGAATTTGAAACTTCAGTCAAACGCAGAACAATTAAAGAGAATCACGGCTAGATAGCAATCCGGAATATCCTCAACCTGTAAGGCTACTATGGCCTGCATGTATGGTGTCCACGAATTCTTGAATGCTCATAAAAGCAATGGCTTGTTTGTCCCAGTACAATCGAGACGGAAAGTAACAAATAGAATAAAAAACAACTCACGTCTCAAGATCATAATCAAATTTATCCACTGGCATCTCAACCAATGGATCTTGCATTGTAGTCTCACCCTTTTCCCATTTCTGAAACCATACTTCATGAAGACATTGTCGACTAATACTTCCACTTAGATGAGCATGTAACTATGTAAGAAGTGTCTTTCAGCCTTATGTCAATATGATTCATGCAGCCGTTAAGATAACAAAATCCGGTGGAGATTTGACGGACATTAAATCATATGTATGTACAGTATGAATATGCATGTAACCTTTAAGACTTACTTCAATTTTTGGCAAGGATATGAAATCAATGGCTTCCGAGCTTGATGAATCCATTGCGCGATAGTGACTCCTTGATAAACTGTCTCGAATGGATGAAGAAGATGAAGAAGATGAAACTGCTGCGTACTGCGTAGAGTTACAACCTAGGTAGTTTTGACTTCTTCGATATAGTGTTGGTGTTGTCCTCCTACGGATGTTTGTTTCCCTTAAATCTGGAAGAGTTGATTGCTGCATGCACTTTTCTCATGCAGCAATAATTTAATGGTGCTAACCTTGAAAGTGGTAGGGATTTCTTGATGACCAATCTTATTTCTGACGAATCAAATTCCATCAATGACTGTCAAACTTAACTTCGGGAGATCTTCCAATCTGAGAATCGGTAGATACTGAATTCGTGCGTAGAAATTCCCCACTCCACTTTGCACAATGGGAAAGTACTCCAAATGGATATCATGAAAGAATTGTGGACTGGGAATTCTACCAATAGGAAGGATAGAAAACGTTTCCTCCGTTCTTTTATGAATAATTCCTGGTAGAATCTCAAGCAAAAATGTAATTAAAGATACCTGCTGGGTAGTCCGTAGATTGTAGAAAGCAAGAGCGGCGATGACCACTTGCTTGCAGCATAGAGCTTACAAGTTACAATTGCAAGAGCTTGATAGAGCTTGGTTAATCTTCAATAACCGGGTCTCGAAATGATCTTGATCTTGAGCCTTGAGGTCGTCGTGGTCCCCGTGCAGTATCGCGGCAGATGAAGGGGTAACAGACTCAATTGCGCGATATCGTACCATTAAATTTGATGTACAGATGGGAAAAATGGATAGATGGATAGATGGATACGATGATAAAGAGAAACATAATGAATCAGAGTACCGGAAAGTCTTTCCTGTTCTTGCGCCAAACAAAAAGGGACTCCTTATATATTTCGATGGGATCTGTGGGATTCCAAAGAACGCTTAAGAAGTTAAGAGTTAACAAACGACCGAAAGAGAAGATGATTTGATTACCTATCGATAGTCATTTGAAAAGAAGTAGGGGTATATGATTAAAGACGGAGTAGAATCAGTAGAGCCTGCCTCAGCCTGCCATTCACAACCCCGTCGATCCCAATAGTAAAATACCCGACCCTGATTCTTCTGATGCTTGACCCATTTTGAAATCAAGTCCCCGATATTTATCCTGGTCGAAATTTAAAGAAACGGGAACCAAAGGGATTCCCCACGGCGTAGGTACTAGGTAGTAGTAGTACTTGGTACGGAGCAGTTGGTAGTAGGTACGCAATCGAGAGCCAAGTTTGCGGACTCATTTGTAAAACAAGTGACCTGTTACCAATCTGGGAAATCAATATATCGATATATATCGATGGAATTGAAAGAAGAAGAAAAGAAGGAAACAATAACAATAACAATATGGGATGGTGTAGTAGTAGATGTGACAAATAATGCATCTCCATTTATGTATATGCGACTAGAAGCAATTTACCATTTTGTGCCCTGCTGATCAATATGCATCTGTACGAAGTAATTTATAGAAAAGAAAAAAGTCCCACCGATAGAACCATGTTGCGACGTGCAGGATGCAAGCAAGATAATACCGTAAAGGGAAAGTTAAGATCCTCTTTCTTCTGCCCCTTCATCAACTTTTCTCTGCGTGGAATTGGTCATTGTACATATATGATATAACCCAAGACCAAGAGGAGGTGGCTAAGTCTTCTTCCTTGTGCTTGAGAGTTGAGAGTGATACCTATCGATAAATGATATCAATATGAGAATTGTATATGTATGCCATTGCCATCCAGATATGAGATAGGTAGGGCGAGCGAGATCGTGATAAGAAGTAAGGTGGTGGATCTTCCAAGTTCCAACTATTTTTATGGAATGCCGCTGCAAGCAGATAGGACGGTAGTAGTGAAAGCAGGTACAAGTCAGTCCAAGCAATTATTATTAGTGGCAGTAGTCCGTACCGGTACTCTGCGATTCTGTATATATTTGAATAATCATCTTCGCCATAATACTTGCGCATCAAGGCATCCTCCACCTTTATGCTGAAAGAAGGGGGAAAGCGCCCAGCTAGGTAGGTATAATTACCTAGTATTACCTAGGTAGGTAATTGCCTACCTCGGCGTAAAGATTCTTGTAGCTTATTTCGAAATCATATCATCCTTTGTATCAACACACGCTGACAGAGAGTGAATAATTATTAAGCACAGAGATACCTAGGTATAGGTATAGGTATAGGTGTAGGTAGCTACTTTATTTATTTAATTTCCCTATTCTCCTCTTTCTTTTTTACATTACCCAATAGATAGTTGTTCTGCGGAATCCCAATCACGATGTATATAAAAACTCTCGTAGGGGAATCTGAGAGTCCGTAAATTGAATTGATATCCTTAAACAGTGCCTCCCTATTCGTAGTAGGTAGGTACCTAGGTAGATTGCGATGGATTCGATCTACGTCCTTGATTGGTTTATTATTCAGGTGAGAAAGAGGTTAATTGCCTTTGCTTTGATCTTGTGAAAGTTGAGGCTTGACCTGGCGCGTCTTGCTTGCTTTTATCTTACTTTTCTTCACATAATTCATTAAACGGGGGGTGGCTAATTTTCTATATTCACTGACCCGATACTGATAATCTCTGGCAATCACTGATAATCACTTGAGCACCTCACATTCATCCTCATACCTATCTAGGTGCTTACTACTTCCAAGTTATCTAGGTACTTGTCTATTTTCCATCTACTTCCTTATGTGCATACTGTGCCTCTACTGTTCTTCTTTCTCCTCAAAGACACTACTGTTACTAATAGTAATAAATTCCTCTCAGACTCTTTCTCTCGCTCTGCCTCTCTCTCTCTCTCTCTCTCTCTCTCTCTCTCTCTCTCCCTTCCTCGCCCGTTATTAAAATTGATTTCCACTAAACTCAAATCTTACCACTTCCCACCGGCTTCCTTCTCCCCTCTGATTTCAGCCCAGACCAAAAAGAGAGCTACAGCCCAGTAAAACTAATCCCATCTCGACCAATTAGCCGAGAAAAAGCAAGCAGCAACGCAAAATAACTGGGTGTTACTTGCACTGCGCTACTGTACCTTCTAAATCAATCAATCATCCTTCTCCATTCCGTCAAGATTGCCTCTGCCTCAACTTTCTTCAACTCATCAGATCTGAACGAAAGGAAACTCTTCCATACAAGCCTTGTTCCACAATTGAAGAAGGTGCAGACAGACTTGGTCTTATTATACTCTGATATACTTCATTTTAATCATTTCAACAAAGAAGAGAAAGATCTTTACACTAATACCCGGCAATTGCCATAAACAATCACTCCCTCAAAACAGCACCATTCGATCTGTACCATACTACACCAATCCAATCCAAATCAGCGAAAGATTCCTTGATACCTCCGATAGCTGAATTGCTTACATTCAGCCAATTCCAAATCTCAGTCAACCAACAAATTCGGGAAGAAGCTATCATCCTTTTGGTCGCAACCCCCTACAGCCTCATCAACAATTGAAACAATAACGATAATTATCCAGCTGAGATTCAATTGAATTCATAACTCACACGTCCAACAATCCGACCGAGATGTCGTCAAACTCGAACGATGTATCGCCGGAGGCGATGCAGTCGCGTATTCAACAAGCCCGTCGTGAAGCAGAGTCATTAAAAGATAGGATAAAGCGCAAGAAGGATGATTTGGCAGATGCAACGCGTAAGTAACAATTGCCTTTCAGCTCTCACAACAACATTCAATTTCATCACCTTGACGTTGTTGATCTCTGCGATTGCATACTAACTAATAATGTTACAGTGATGAACCTTGCGAGGGCTCAACAAGAAGCTTTACCAAAGAATCAAATGATGAAGACCCGAAAGACATTAAAAGGACATCTCGCAAAGATTTATGCAATGCACTGGTCAACTGATAGAAGACATTTGGTATCAGCATCGCAAGACGGTAAATTAATTATTTGGGATGCATACACAACCAACAAGGTCCATGCTATTCCTCTACGATCTTCGTGGGTCATGACCTGTGCCTATGCACCAAGTGGTAATTACGTCGCATGTGGTGGATTGGATAACATCTGTTCTATCTATAACCTAAACTCAAACCGTGACGGACCTACAAGAGTTGCTCGGGAACTTTCTGGACATTCCGGTTACCTTTCTTGTTGTCGATTCATCAATGACCGAAGTATCCTTACGTCTTCAGGAGACATGACTTGTATGAAGTGGGATGTCGAAACGGGATCAAAAGTCACCGAGTTCGCAGACCATTTGGGTGATGTTATGAGCATCAGTATTAATCCAACTAACCAAAATACATTTGTTTCAGGCGCTTGCGATGCCTTTGCGAAACTTTGGGACGTTCGTGCAGGCAAGGCTGTTCAAACTTTCGCGGGACATGAATCAGACATCAACGCCATTCAATTCTTCCCAGATGGGCACTCCTTCGTTACCGGTTCCGATGATGCTACCTGCAGACTTTTTGATATCCGTGCTGATAGAGAGCTCAATCAATATGGAGTACGTCTTCACCTTTTGGATTTCCTAAACCTGTCGCTAACAGCATCTAGCATGAATCTATTCTCTGTGGTATCACATCTGTGGCCTGCTCTGTATCTGGCAGGCTTTTATTTGCTGGATATGATGATTTTGAATGCAAGGTAAGCTATTATCAACCTATTCATTGTCAAAGAGAAGTTTGGTATTAACCTCTTGCCTAGGTATGGGATATCACTCGCGCCGAGAAGGTCGGATCATTAGTTGGACATGACAACCGTGTCAGTTGTCTGGGTGTTAGTAATGATGGGATGAGCTTGTGCACTGGATCATGGGATTCATTGGTAAGTCGCGATAGCTTTCTGTTCTTTTTCCCTTCCCATTATCTCAAACTAACACTTCCATTTCTCCCTTCAGCTCAAGCTCTGGTCCACATAACTTACACTATTTTACTCCCACTTCAGCTCAAGGTTTGGGCCATGTAGATCTGGTCTATTATTTCGACGATAACGAATTTTCGTCGCATGCGGTGTCATTTTTCATTTGGCAATCCCATTTTTACTTAATCGCCCTCCCAAATACGACTTCTTAATATTCATGGCTTTCGGCATAGATTGGTCGAAGTCTTTACAGCAGTATCCATCATACTTCAGCGACAGGTGGCCCTTCCCGATCGATTACTTCCCATACAGTAAAATAGCGGGCCCGACCAGTTGCGCATATAAGATTCTGTGCACAATAATTCTTCATTTCGATGTTCTTGTTTCTATGGGAGGTCCTATTGCATTGCTTTTTCATCAGCGTTCTTAAGCACTGGGAATTTGCGACGATATCCTGCAGAGACACTTGTTCTTTAACTTTACACTCTCACAACACGACATCTCCCAAGTTTCTTCCGTGTCTTTTCTTTTTTTTTATTTACTTTTATCAAAATCTCCGAGGGGCAGTTACATGATTGCGGTGGGGGAACAAGGGGAGAATAAATATAAGGGGAGAGGATGGGTGACGAATTGCGAAGTCGACAGAAAGTTTCTCACAACTATTTTGTTTGTGATGCCTGATAAACTGGGTTGGTATTCCGAAAGTGAACCTCCAGATCATACATTTGGTATATGCAATTGTAAAAGTTGGTCAGGATGGAGGATGAAGAGAGGAGATTCCAAGGGGGGACAGGACTCATAACTAGGCTCTGTAATGCATCGGCAAGTGAAGTACCACTGCAGCATAAGTTTAACAATTATTGAATCTGGCGTCGGTTCCATACAAAGCTTGTATTATAGTCTAATAATGCCCTTGATAGATATGTCTTCTTTATTCCTTTTTCTTTCTTCTCTTTGCATGGTGATGAAGTGTCTTTTTTTTTTGCCGGGGCTTGGTGTAGGACTGGGGAATAGGGAGTCTGGATGGAACCGAACTGATACTTGAAAGGGAAATTGATAGTTGAAGTGGTTTTTTGTTAATCAAGTCTTTGTTGAAAAGTTTTTGTAGAATAGTAGGCTAGGTGAAGAATCGAATTAGCTGAATTGAATTGGACTGAATCAATGAATTATAATGACTATTCAGAGACTGTGTTGGGAGTGTTGACTTTCTTGGATTGTGTGAATTTGCTTTTCCTTCAAGGTTTTGCTTTTAGGTTTTGGGAAGGGGGGTTGAGTGAGGTGGGAGAGAAGAGAAGGGGGGAGAGAGAAGGGGGGAGGTGGATGGATATGATAGTTGCACGAGTAAGCGGGTTATGCATCTATATCTTGGGTTTGTTGTTATATGAATGGAAACTTGATGAGAGGGGGTTTTGTGTTCCGGCGTAAGATTTGAAGTTGAAGTTGAGATTGAGGTTGAGGTTATCAGGAGAGGGATTTCGTGTATGTTGGGGGGCTGAAATGAGTGGATGGGGATGGGAGTGCTGCGGTGTAGGTGTTGAGGTAGGGAAGAAATGAGAATGCTTGTTTAGAGATAATATAGAATGCGATTCTTAAGAAGAGGGATGAGAGGGGATGAGAGGGGATAAGAGGGGGTGATAGATAAGGTGATAAGCTAGTGTAATATGAGCGAGGAGGTGGGAAAATGAGATGATGGTAGTAGTGGTTGTTTGGGTGGGAGTTGGGGAGGGGTGGGAGAGATGAGAGGAAAGGAGATGGGGATGGGAATGGGAATGTGAAAGAGAGAGATGTGAGTAGATGAATTGGTGAATTGGTGAATCTATTTGCTGAATGAACGAGGTAGATTGGGGAAGGAGAGGGGGGGAGGAAGACAGTTCGGTCTTTTGGTGGATGAATGGGAGAGAGGGGGGGATTTGGGGAGAGGGTGCGGGAGGGCAGAGGAGGGAGGAGATCGGGTGATTGGATGATTGGATTAGATCGGATTGGGTATGACTATGGGTGTGGGGTGGGATGAGTCTCTAGGTAGGGATGGCGAGGGAATAGATAAGTGAGGGAGGGGGGCTTGGGAACTTGGGAACTTTGATACCTTTGGTGACTGTGTGGAGCGAGTGTTGTGTATATAGATGATTGGGAATTGCAATTTGGGGTGGGAATGTGAGATATAGTAGGTTGGTAAGTATATTGGACCAATGGAGAGGTAATCATGCCAGTTCGAGTGATCTGTAGAAGCAAAGAGGGATGCAAAAGGTTTGATTGGTTGACGAAATGTTGGATTTGGGATGGCTTTGTATTTGTATTTGTATCTAAAGCTGAAAGACGTGAGGGGAAAATATATCAATAAATACATGGTTAATAGTAGGAGCAGTTAAGAGAAAAATGTACAGTTCGTTTCGATGTATATAATGGATATATGATGAGTAACAAACACATAGAGGACGAAAAATTCGGTATACTTTTTTGATATTATTACTATTTTGACTTAGAAAAATGGAGGTTCTAGAGATTATAAGATGAATCTTGACTGGGTAGGCTTAATTCACAATCTGAATGAAATATTGATGATTTGCTCTGTGTGATTAGGACATCTTCATATGGGAATCAAGAATTGATGGATAAGCTAAGTTTCGTAGGTGGATAGTTGAGTGAGAGGAGAGGTATAGATCTAGATGTATATACGATTCATAGTTATTGGTAATGAAGAGAAGAAGTGGAAAGAAAAATTGGATTGTGTTTGAGTTTGTTGAGCTGGTCTGGTGTTGTCGAGTAAGTGTGTTGTTTATGCAGGTGGAATGTGAAACTGGTGGTGTAGGTTTAATATATGAATGAGATGGGTTGGATAGATGAGAGAGAGGGATGGTGAGTTGGATGGTTGGGATGATGGGAAAAAGAGAAAATGTAATGGATGCAGCGCAGTGGAGAGGATAGTGAGTTGCTAGAGGAAATACTAGGCTGATGTGACTGACAGCAGTTTTAATCGGCAATACCGAATCGATTATGCGCGCGAGAGGGGAATACCGACGGGCTGGGTGGGCTAAATGGAATTTATGGGGCGGCTTGGCTTGGTGTGTATGGAATATGCGGCTAATAGTTAGGTTTGGGGGTTTAGGTGAGATGGAGATGGGATTATGGCATTTTTCGCGAGTCGAATATCGTGTTAGTTTTGGAGATGGGTTTGAGGATTGCTTGTTTGAATTTATTCTCTGATGCATAGGGAAGAGGTAATGGAGGTGGAAGTCGCGGGAGTGGGAACGGATGATGTGAGGGAGGTGTGATGAAGTGTGATGAGGTGTAATGAATGTTGTGTGAATGAGATCATAGCTATGGGCTTTGATGATAATTGTGGATGTGGACATTGATATCGATGTATGGAGATTGGGCCCGAGAGTCTGGAGGCTGGTCTTGGAATATACAGATATCATCATAATTTGAAAACGGGATCGTCGATGAGGGAGAATGGGATGAGATGAACGAATGTTGGAGGTTGGAGGTTGGATTGTGGCAAGAGCTGTGACTTTGATGTGTGTGTATATGTGTATATGTGTATATATCTGTGTGTGCGTGCGTATGTGATGGAGGTCAGACCTGTCAAAGTTGCAAAGTATAGTTGAAGCCAGTCAAAGCTCGAACTTTGGTGGTTTCTGCAGTCTAGATTTGCTAAGAGCCGACGCGACAGATGCATTGGGGGGAACTACATTGGTGCTGTAGACTTGTTGGTGATACAGTAGCTTGGGACTAAAGTTTTGTAGGCCTTAATATAAGTGTGTTTTACAATTCGGATATGGCGGTTGGTAGTTGGACTGTAGATTGTTACCTGATATTCGAGATTCAAGGTTTGAGAGAGACGACTCGCAGGATGGAAAAGTATGAGTACCGGTAGACGATGGCAATGATGATGACCATGATGTTGTGTGGATGCAGTGGATGCAGTGGATGAATATTAGGAATATTAAGGTCATGTCAGGTGTTACGAATGTATCGACTTATGAAACGTCTGATTTTCTTAATAGTGTGGATCATGACTATGCAAGAGTTGTAGCCATCAACCATGAGAGATGGATGGGATGGGGACCCGACATGACTTTGTTTGTTGTTTCATTCATTCTATTTCGTTGAGAAGGATTGATATGCTAGATGAATATTTGCTTCCAGAAAGTCCAAGGAAGGTGGGCAGGGAGATTCATGCTGAGAAGGATTGGGATGCTAGACGAAGACTGACTTCCAGAAAACCCGAGGAAGTACGTTCATGCTTGGGATGTTGGGTTGAGCTGGTTCGCTGGGTTGGTATATTGAGTTGCATATTCCCGTTTCCTCGATATTACTAAGAAGCTCATGGCATTAAGACACAGAATCCTTGAGGATGTCTATTAATAGTTTATATACTGCGTACAGGAAATATGTCCCTCGTCGCTTTCTCTATGAGGCTATCGTGGCGACAATCATTTGATGGGAAGGGGATGGTGGCGGTAAGATAGGATTCGAGGCTCAAGGTTATTATATTATCATAACACATGATCTTGGATGTGAATATCGATGTGAATATCGATGTGAATACCTCGTATCTGTGGCGCCGATCCTATTTCGAACCTGTGGAAAGTACGCTCCTCTCCTCTTCTCTGCTTCTCCCGCACTTTGTTCCATGAATAATGCAACCGAAGAAAAGACTACGGTATCAACCCAGTCGTCAATCAACTAGGAGAGTCCAGAGTAGTAAGTAGACCTTGTCAGTTGAACATCAAACCCCTGACCCACGTACACTCGTCGGGACACACCCAACCCAGCACCCAACGAGCCAACCTAACTAGCAGCTGGTACTAGGGACGCACGTTAGTTTTGCTGGGGACGGACCTTGCTGTGCCTTATCCTAGCATTATCAAAGAAAATCTACTTCCAAATTCGATCATCATTAACCCTTAAAATTCATCGCGAACCACCGAAAAAGAAAACTGTTGGAAACAACGCAATAGCCATTATATGCCCTTTTCATGCCTTTTGATCAAATATGGTTCAATTATTCATCTACGAAAAAGAGGCTGTGCTGAGAATGGAAGTCAGAAGAAGAAAAGAAAATGGTCGAGTATATGCCGATGTCTAACAGGTATTTCTATAAAGGGCATCTAGAGTCTATTCTATCCCTCTTTTTGGCGTGCATCCTCCGAAACAAACGTAAGCCAAAAAGTTTCCCCAAGCTAAGAAAAGCAGTGAGATCAGACACAAACACAGACAACTAACGGAAAGATACCATCAAGACAAAAAAAAAAGCATATTATCGTAAGATTATTTTTGAAACAATACCTTACATCGAAAATCAAGTCTCAGATCTCGGTCATACTTTCCCCAGCCTTTCCCTACCGCGAGGCCCTTGCACAAGAATCTCTTACAAGCCAACCGCACCATTGAATTTCAGCTTAACCAAACCTACATCATCAGCGCCAAACAGGCGAGAAGGCAAAAAAACAAAATCAAAAAAAACATCTGTGTCTCCGAAAACACGAGCTTGCCGTCTCATACCTGGGCGAGGAATTACTAGGGTCTACCCGCTTCTAGAAGTCTAATCCATACCAACGCCTTACCTTTCCACGCGATCCTCCTTGCACATCCTTCAAGCGCCCTAAGCATCCCCAAGCTTCTCACTTACTACAAGACCTCGTGACTCCCTTGCTTCGTTATAAATCTTTGAAAGATGGCTGGCAAAACGGCGGCGCAAGAAGAATTTGACAATATCATTGCAAAAGCTTCTGCAAACGAAAATCACGAACATCCCGACGACGAAAAGGATTATAGCTTTGATAGGAACAGTGACGTGGACGAAGAAGAGGAACATCACAATCGCAATATAGAAGATACAATGAAGATGCCTTTGTTTGACAGATCGAATTCGGGAGGAATGGGAGGGCTCAGTGAACCATTGAGGTTGCCGCATAGAGATTTTGATAGTGGGAGGACGACGGGAGTTAAGGGGGTGATTGCTGATGCGAGGAGTTATGAAGAGGCGAGGAAGACGGGGGGTTGGAGAAATAAGCTGAGGGGAAATACAATCACAAAGGAGGACAAGAGGGCAACCTTCACTAAGGATGGTTCGGGGAGTGAGGCAGGGCTGAGTGACGATGAAGAGTTCTTGGAGAGGTGGAGACAACAACGACGAGTAGAGATGCAGAGTGAAGGGAAAGACATTAGAAACAGGAGGACAAGTCCTAGTGTGCGTCGTTATGGAAGATTTGACGAGGTAGATGCGCTTGGGTATCTCGACGCCATTGAAAAGGTCGGAAGAGAAACCGTCGTTGTCGTTTTCGTCTATGATCCTGAGGTTTGTTGTCCTACATATATGATCCCGTCTTTACTTTTATACATATGCTAACAATTCCATAGTGCGACGTCTCTCAAGTAATCAACTCAGCACTCCTCCCCCTTGTTGCCGCAAATCCAACAGTCCACTTCGTACGCGTCCATTACGAAGACATAGAATTCGATAATGCAGGTGTACCGGCTATACTGGCTTACAAAAATCAAGGAGATCTTTTTGCGAATTTGACATATATCATTGATCAGATTCCGGATGACACGATTTTTGATACGAAAGCTTTAAAGGACGTTTTGGTTAGACATCAGGTTCTTTAAATGATGTGTTTCTGTTTCCATTCTGAGAAAGATGATTTGAGGATACTTCAGTTCTTGTGCCTATTTATGGTGTGAGAGGGGTTATCTTTTGTTGTATTAGCATCACTAGCATACATGACATCGATTGTCACATCGCATCATTGCATTGCAAAAAGACATTCTTACATTCTATACATTATATATAGACGGACGTGGCGGGATTGATTCAAGGATTAAATGATCTCGCTCTGAGAGTAGAGAAGAGATGAATACCTACACTGTATGAATAGGATGAGAACTCGGGTTAGGGAATCGGATGGATGGCGTTGGGATGGGAGGAAGGAATTACCTTACTCCTTTATATGTTTGCTTTTATCTTTGGATTGTTGGGTTGAGCATGGGGTTTAGAGGTCTGGTTGATCGCTTTGGCGTAGTCAAAATTCATGGCGCTTGCTAAGCTTGAGCTTGTCAGCTTGAATCTTTTTCTGATATTTTTAAATATACCTAGAAATGGTATGATACCTTTATATTATACTTTTTGTTGTATTTACATTTATGGTGGAACGTATATCTTTATAAATTCTATCTATTTTGTTTCTCTTTACCTCTATCTATACCTAAATCTATACCTATATCTCTGTCTCTCTCTGTGTCTCTTTTACTGCTTCCATCTCTGTCTCTGCTCCATGTATATTCCAACTTGTACTGTTTATACGCATGTTATGTGCGTTACTGGGACTTTACCTCTGATCCTTACTTTCTTTGGTTCCTACTCTTTCTTCACCTTGCTTACATGCAAGTATGTCGTTATCGATTTTCATACACCTACCTAGGTATACACCACTCGGGAATACAAGATGGGAAGATGGGAAGGAGGGAAGGAGGGAAGGAGGGAAGGAAAAAAGAGAAGGTATCTTTTGAACAGCCCTGCTTTGAGAGAAGCTGGATTGGGTATTCGACGGTAAAGCATATGGATGAACTAGATGAAATGGATGGTAAATTGTGGAATGTAGTGTATTGTAGTAGAGAGGAGAAGGAGAAATTCACTTTTCTTAGATTTTCTTAGATTTGGGTAGGTGGGAGGAAGTGGGAGGAAGTGCGGCTTTGGGATTTTTGGGTGGGGATTATTAGGTAGTTATTGAGATTGGGAATCGGGGATTGGAGAGTAGGTAGGAAAGAATGGTATGGTATAGAATCAGATATATAATATATATGAACGATAAAATACTACTTCGTAATTGGCAACTAACCAGTGACTAGTGACTAGTGACTACTGTGCTCAATCAAGAAGATACTTTATAAAATCAAATTTCAGTCCGAAATGCCAAGAATAAGAATCGCTTCCTTAGCTCAGTGGTAGAGCGGACGATTGCAGTAGTGTTTCTCGAAAGCGTCTCGCTATTATCGTCAGGTCAGTCGTTCGAACCGGCTAGGGAGCTTCAATTACTCCGTGATTCATACTTTTTGTTTTTTGGGGTTTGTGGTTGGGGTTAGGAAGGGTGGTGTTGGGTTTCTTCTGGTGTGGGATGGGGGAGCGGACGGACTATGTATTTGTGGTGTTATTTGGAGATGATAGATAGGGATTTTGCTTTTGTTCTTGTGTTTTATTTATTGATTTATTTATTTATTTATCAGCGGTGATGAGTGAGGAAACGAATACCCGAATAGAGATAGCAAAATAAAAGAATAGGAAATATAAATACCTATATAAATAATGGTAAGAGTTGAGGCCCCGGCTTATCGCACACCACCCATTTTTCGGTCTAATTTTTTAAAATTTAATAATAAATCAATCATACAATATAATCTTATAAAACTTAAGTATTATATTAATAAATAATAACTAATTCTTATATTTCAATTACATTTTTAATTTTGCAAATCAATCTCTTAATATATGATCTAAAATCTAAAAGATCTATTTTATTCCAAAAAGCTTATAATTTATATCTCAATTTTTTTATAAAAATAAATACAAATAATAGCTTTTTTAATTCCTTTTTTATTTATTGCTATATTTTTTTAATTAAATTAAGATTTAAAGAGAAGAATAATTAATCAAAGCTTTATATATTATATTCTAATTGAATTCTATAAATATATTTAAAATATATTTTAAAATTATTCTTTATAAATATATATTTAGATTCTAGTTTATTAAATAATAAGAATATAATAGATTTAAGAGTTTATTATATATATATTTTAGAAATAATATTTTTATCATTCTTAAATCTTTTCAAAAAAATCAATAGAGATTTATAGTTCTAATTAATTATATTTTATATTATTATTAATATCTTTTCTGATTGATATATTGATTTAATATAATTAGTATATTTCTTTTTATCAATTTATTTAATAATCTATATCCTATTTACTTTTCCTAATTTGAAAGTGCTTTTGTCTGATTATATAATTAATCTTCAATCCTCTTTTTCTAATCTAATAATAGTAATATTATTAATTTTTTATTAATAATATTTATATATAAAATCTAGTCTCTTTTTTGTTTATATTCTCAAGATAAAGAATTTAGAATATATTATATACTTTTTATATTTATATTAATATAATTCCTTTTGAATTGTATATACTGAAGTTTCAATGCTAAATATATTTTTAATCTATTTAAAAATTATTCTTTTTTGATTTTAATTTTTAATAATTGTTTTTATAATTCAATAAATCTCTTTAGTAATTATTATAAACTTTTGATAACCTTTTTCTTTTCAAGTTTTTTTAATCAAATTGGATTTAATTATATTTCTTGTAATAAATTATAATACACCTAAATTTAAAGCAATTTATTCCTAGGATTTTCTATTAATTCTAGTTTGAATAATTCTAGAACATCAAGAAGTATACTAATTTTAATAAAATTTATAATTATTATTTTTATAATTATATTTAATATCCATTTTGAATTTGAATCGAAAATAATGAATTTTAGAATAATAATTGAATTTTTAAAATAAGGTATGCGAAATTAGATGGCTATCCTAATCTCGCTTAAATGTGCGATAAGCCGGGGCCTCAACTCTTACATAGTTAGATATATTATCGAATCTGGATATTATGACCTTTTACTTATTACTTATTAGGTAGTTAATTACCGAGACCAGTATACGATAGAGTAGAAAGATAGATACAATAACAAAATAAAACAAGTCAACTAACGCATATCTTCTCGGTGGATGTGTTGTATACTAGGTAGGTACTTCTGATGAATTCCTTAGTATAGGTATATATGATTTTGTTGTTTATCTATAGTAAGTATAGAAGATTCACCAATATGGGGGGGAGTATTCGGAGTTGTATATTTGTGTGTTTATACGGAGGGAAGGGGTCGGTCTATTATTTTTGGGGGCTTTTCTTCTTGTGCTGGCGGAGCGGAGTATTGATTTCGTTGATTTAGGGGCGGGAGCGTAGCCATGTATTGCGGGGTTTGCGTTAAGCGAAAGGGAGGCAGTTTAATAAACTCGAACTGTATTCTTACTCTACCTACCTAGTACCTAGGTAGGTATCTCAAACGCAAAACAGTGAAGATGATTTTGCGGCTTGGGTTTCAAAATTCTATGGTTTCTGGAATGCTAGCTAGTGGGAAGTAATAATTTATAAATACGTGTCGAAGTGCATCGCACTCGAGCTTTGAATTACCTACTTGATATGACAATCGAGTCGTGTCTTCTCTCTCCCTCCTGTAACCGATCGAAATATCGAAATATCGGATAAGATGAAATGAAATGAAATGAAATGAAATGAAACGAAATGAAGACGAAGACGAAAGAGAGATCTAAGTTGAACATACAGTCATCCATTGATATCGGTTCGAGGAATTAATAAATTATCCTGTAAGATGGGCTAGCAGTCATCTTTTCTTCATTTGTGCACCCTTCTAGATCTCCTCTCTCTTGTTTCGCGGAGCTCGCAAATGAGAATCTTTCGACGGGGTCTTTCTGGATTTTGGTGCTAGCCGGTGAGTATTATCCGGGTTTATTACTCTGATTGATCATGGCTTTATGTTACCGTTACTTACTGAGATGAGACGTCGTACTCGCGGATGATTTGAACGGGGGATAATTGAGAAGGTTAAGACTCGATAGTATTCGCTAGTGGTAGATGAAGCTGTAGAGGAGAGCGAGGATAATGATGTGTAATCTATAGTTGAGAAGTGATATTTGTGATGATGAAGAAAGTCATGAAGGTTCAGCATTTGCAAAGGGTTGAAAACTTTGCTTTCGCGCCTCGGGCTAGTTTCTATACATCATGTATAATCAATTTTTCACAGGTTTCTTGAAACACGTCAGTATTAGGGACGATAGAAGGTATAACATATGATTTGAAAATTCAGTTCCAAGATCTCCCAGAACATATGCGTCTTCTCATTTCATCTTTATCTAAAAAAATTCGCATTCGCTAGAATGATTTCCCGATAGCAAATTACAAAGTTCAGACAGTTTTCTCACAAACCAATAAGAAAAACTAGGCGAAAGAGAAGCAGAGATAATAACGAAATAATCAAAGGAGGAATAGAGCACACTTTGGATCGAGATTCACAAGTTCCTTCTCTAAAGACTCAATGTATCTTAATGTAGTTAATACTCTACGAACTCCAAAGGATGAAGTTAAGACTCACACTTCCTGGTTTTCGGGTAGTCGATTTTTCATGGAGTCCTTCTACCTAGTATGTCTTTATCTAAATTCATAGATTTGCTCTTTTTTTCCTTACACACTTTTCCCAAACGAGTTATGGTTGAATGGAATTCTTGACTAGAGTATGTGTTTACTACTGTGATCAGCACGTGTATAAAATAGAGGACGTGGAGTTAGCGGAGCTTTCATAGATGAAATCGAAGAGCTAAGGTTCTGGGTTCGTCCAAGAGGGAACTCGGTTTGTAAAACAAGGACTAAGGTCCTTAGCCTGCTCAAGTATCGAGCTGAGGCCCTTCGTCTGCCGAAACCCTGTCTATAGTACCTTTCTACAACATCACACTCGTGAGCTTTACAACCCCATATCT